ACTAGTATGACCATCTAATTTGGCTTTTTATTATCCTGTTTTGACATCCCATAGACGAATTTCTTGATAACTACCAGAAGCTAATGTATTTCCATCCGGAGAGAAACAGACTGACCAAACATAACTAGTATGACCATCTAATTTGGGTTTTTATTATCCTGTTTTGACATTCTATAGACGGATTTCTTAATAACTACCAGAAGCTAATGTATTTCCATCAGGAGAGAAACAGACTGAGTTAATACAATCACTATGACCATCTAATTTGGCTTTTTATTATCCTGTTTTGACATCCCATAGACGGATAGAGCAATCACCACCTCCAGACGGATTACCACTACAAGAAGTTAATGTATTTCCATCAGTTGAGAAACAGACTGAGTCTACAATTCCACTATGACCATCCAATTAATATAAATCGTTTATTTTTAATTATTACCAATTACATCCAAATAATTAAGCTCCATTTATATTTATTCCATTGATATTCACATTCTTAAATTAAGACTTGGATAAATTACATTTAGAAAAATTACCTCCAAATACATTTGTATTTTCTATTCTTATATTTTCAAAATTTTAGTTTGTTAGATCCACCTACATTTCAACCAATAAATTAATTGCATTAGACCCACTGATTATAAATTTATTATCTATCTTAGTGAGATGAACTAAGAATTTCAAAAATTCTATTATTCTATCCTCTTGAAATATTTTTTAAATGAGATATTATCTTGTTTCAGTGTAGATTTCAGTGGAATAATTAATAGAATGAAAATCATGCTTTATTATGATTTTGATTTAACTAGTAATTTAATTAATAGTCTAATCAAAAGCATCCAATTTAATTATAATTCTATGAATATTTTTAATTGATATTTTTTAGAAACTCTAAGCAATCCTAATTTTGATTCTCTTCTTTTGAAAATATTTCTATTATAATATTCAATATTTATGTATCAAAATTTTTTGATTGAACTAAAACCTAATATAAATCAGCTGCAATCAAGAACTCTTATAATGATTTATGAGTAAATTAATAATTACCACCTTTTTATTAGACAAGTGAGCAACTTCTAATATCTTATTTATAAGCTCTGTTTTAATCATCATAATTAAAAAATTCATTTAACTATTGTTCTTCTGTTCTCTCATTTTAATATAAAATCCTTGCTACTTATATTAAACTTACGTCAGTTCATTCTTACTCATAGTTTTTGCAAATCTAATTGAGTATTCTAATAGATCATTCAGAAAACGATCAGTATCTATAGATTTTCCTAAGTTTCTCTATTTTTCGATTTATTTCAAGTAGTAATAATTGATAGACTCATAATAAAAGTCATAAATCGAAAGATTGTATTCTTTTAATGCATCATAGGCAAATTAGATTATTTCTTCCTTTTCAATTTATATTTTCTTTAATATCTACTTTGGTAGCAAAGGATTTGTTTTAAATATATTTTCAAGTTATTTATGCACTTCTACAGATTCTTAAGAGATTTACAATTATTAAGGAATCGAATTTTCTTCCAAATTTTTCCAAGCTTCAAAAGCAATTTAATGGCAATCAATAGTTTCCAAATTTTATAAATCTTTATGGGTATAGTTCAACTGCTTCAGATTCTTTATTAACTTCATTTATTTACCCCAGCAAATGCCTTTTCTGTTGTGATTTATACATTTGAATTCTGTATTTCTTTCACCATCTTTGAAAAATTCTTCAAGAAGGTTTATTTAATGTTCATAGTCATCTTATTTAAGTGATTCCTCTACTGCTTAAAAAACAGGGTTTTTTAAAGAGGGTAATGAAATATAAACAGGTATTAGTACATAATTCCCAATTTTTTTATTAGTATCATGTAATTTCCAAATAAACTCTTCAATTTTTTTGGCTGTAGTAGTTTTACCGGATCCAGCTAATCCATGAATTAATAATGCTGTTTTCCCTTCATATAAAAACTCATTCACTTCTCCATCTTTATCATCAAATTAATCAAAATTCATCAATCTACTGACTTCATTTTTATCCTTCTCTTGAGTTTTTAATGGTACATAGATGGAATTAACATTTTTTTCTGCTGCCTCCTTCAACACTTTCCATGTTCTAATTTCAAGCAATTATATCACTGATTTTCCTCTCAAAAATCTAATATCATTCCCCAAGTTGTTGAGCTGCTCTTTTATTTGATTGTAAAAATTATTTAAATTCTAATAGATTATTCTTCTCCAAAAAATTAGATAAAGATTTAATAAAATCATTATTAAGGTAAATTTACTTTAATTATTAAAGATCAAGAAAGTATACTTATAAAAATGTTGCCGAATTATTTATGGATTTTCTAAAAGTTTACCTTTGCCACTAATTTTTAATGTTTTCTTGGATTGTTCGATAGCCATATCTCTTTTAATAATTATCTGCTTGTCTTGAGTAAATTCACAAAATTAAAAGATCAATAAAACCTGATTTTGTACTATTCGATATTTTGAGCAATCAATAAAGGAACTTAATTATAGAGAGAATCGTTGAAGAAGTAATTTATTAAATTAAGAAGCCACTTATTTTAAATATTAAAGTTGTATATAGGGCATAAAAATTAAAGATTATTTATAATCATTAATTAATTGGATTGATGGTCTACTCAGTTTTCAAAATAAGATTTACACTTTTTCAAATATAAATTCTTGAAGATTCTAATGCTTTGTTTATTGATATATATTAATCATGTAAATCTTTGAATATTATTTTATAGTTACTGTTACTAATTTTTTGGAACGATTTTCCAATATTAGTTGTTAATAATTATGGTAGTTTCAATTAGTTTACTAAAACATTTATTTTGAGTGAGTTGGATGGACTAATCCATTTTTAAATACAAAGGTTGTTCTAGATTTGTAAGATTAGATAATCTTTAATATTAAAAACTTTCATTAATAATAATGGGATCAGTAAAATTTAAATTTAAACAATCTAAAAAAAGAGTAAATTTAAGAAGAACTAGCACTTTTTGATAATGGTTTTGGATAATTTAGAACTTTACGATGAAGATATTTATTCTAATAATACTTATACGATTTAAAATTATATATTTATTTTATAATTCACATTAATTGTCACATCCATAACCTTTATTAATATTTCCATCATCATATTCCTCCTCATTTACTTTAATGTAATATTCACATTTATTTAAACAAGTTGTATTTATCTCATCTGCATAATGAGTTAACATTTATGATTCTTTCTTAAGGAATAAATTTATATTGAACATTTTCATCTAAGTATTAATTAAATAAAGATTTATTATTTTTAAATTAATCATTCTTTGTATATGTAATGTACTTAAAAATTAAAAAAATCAAATAAATTAGGTACCACAATCTATAATTGACAACATTCTTAATATTTTTTTTTATAAGCATTGGATACATCTATAACATTTATTCTATTATTAATAGTATCCAACTTTACAGTTACATTAATTACTATAACTGATTTCATAATTTGATCTACAAGTAAGGAATTTTTCAGATAACTCATTACAATAAAAAAAATTTTAATTGCATGGCTCAAATTTCTAATCCATTAGATAATGGCCATCAAAGCATTCATCACAAATTAATGGATTTTCACATATTTTACTAGAAGGATTACATGCTTGACTTTGTGTCAATTAATTTATAAAGTATCCTTCTTGACAGAATTGAAAAATAATTGATTATAGCAAATATCGCAATAATAAATGCATTTAAACATCTACTAATAGAAGGTAGATTGTATCCCTTTATAAAATTATCTGCTCCATAACAATCTAAACAAAAATAATCACAAAAAAATTCCCTTCAATAAAAACCCTTCTTAACATAAACATTAATAATTTTAAACACTCTAAATTGGATCTACATATGTTAGGGAACAAATTTAATACTTATAGAACATGGATTTTAACATTAAATTAATACAAACCCTTATGAAAGATATCCAGATTTGCAAATACAGTATTTATTGGAATAGCGAATTTGATTTATATCTAAGCAGTTGATAAAACCGTTTGTATCACATTCATAACATGGTTCTTAACATATTGCACATATGATAAGACTATCAGAATAATAGGTGGATTTGCAAGCACATTATAATGATATAGGATTAAGTTTCTTATTAGAATCTAAACATATTAAGAATTTAGAAGTATGATTGAATTACTAAAGTTATCTCACAAGTTTTACAAGATTATTAATAAGTTATGCAAAATTAATTATTGTCAAATATCTATTCAGGCTCATATTCACATATGTTAATGTTTTTGATATTAACAGGTACAACATTTACTTATTGTAAATAAAAATTCAAACATGGTAATTAGCATTTGATGCAAGTGATATCATCAGTATTTAAAATACAACCTATCTCACAAACACATAAATGCGAATTAATAAGTGCTTAATTAACATCCACTCAAGTTAATCAAATTGTTTTGATTCTATTCACAAGTTTAACATAGACTTATAAATTACTAACATGCTTGAGGATCAACAGAAAAATAGCACTGGCAGCAATTTCATTCAAATTGTATACTCTCACTTAATGTAAAAGTAAAAATGCAATCTGTACAATTATTAGCATTATATTCGCACTTTATGCATGGAGCAGTACAAAGTTAGCATTAATTTGACCCATTGGTGGTATATTCGAGCTCAACTACATTACAATAGATTGCCGTTTTATTTGTGTCAATGCAAGCAGTATAACCAGTAGGAGAGTTAATATATTAAGAAAAAACATGGAAAACACTGTGAATTCCAAAAGTATTTGCCATGATATCAAGTTGTTCAATTCCCTAGTCTTGCAGGAAGCATCACAAATTTTGCAAGCAGTTCCAATTAGTAAATAGTGATCCACACAGATTTCACATATTTTGTATAAAAATTAAAAACAGCTTATTAACTCATATATTTGAATATTTTCAATACAGTAAAATATGAACAGGTAGCACGCTAATTAAGGTAAGCTGAACTTTTTATGCGAGATATGGAAAAGTCAGGAATGCAAGTTGAGCAAGATCTTTAATTAAAAGTAGAAGAGTATGAAATACATGTAACTATATTAAAAACTTGGTATTTAAGTTAATGAGCAAGACATTGTGTTTAAACTCTATATAAACCTGGCTAACATACGTCAGATGCATAATTATTTGTGCAACTTATGCAATTAGATGAAAAATCCACTCATTAAACATTAACTTAAGGTTGACTTGGATTGCAACTTCAAGTACTAAAATAGTTAAAGTGCCCATACATATCCAGTTCATCAAAATTAAGTTGACTCTAAACAAGAGTCGGGCATTAAAACAATTAAATAACATATTAATGATCCTATTTTAATCAGAATATCTTTATAATGATCTTTGTCTTGATGAACATTGAAATCNCATATGTTAATGTTTTTGATATTAACAGGTACAACATTTACTTATTGTAAATAAAAATTCAAACATGGTAATTAGCATTTGATGCAAGTGATATCATCAGTATTTAAAATACAACCTATCTCACAAACACATAAATGCGAATTAATAAGTGCTTAATTAACATCCACTCAAGTTAATCAAATTGTTTTGATTCTATTCACAAGTTTAACATAGACTTATAAATTACTAACATGCTTGAGGATCAACAGAAAAATAGCACTGGCAGCAATTTCATTCAAATTGTATACTCTCACTTAATGTAAAAGTAAAAATGCAATCTGTACAATTATTAGCATTATATTCGCACTTTATGCATGGAGCAGTACAAAGTTAGCATTAATTTGACCCATTGGTGGTATATTCGAGCTCAACTACATTACAATAGATTGCCGTTTTATTTGTGTCAATGCAAGCAGTATAACCAGTAGGAGAGTTAATATATTAAGAAAAAACATGGAAAACACTGTGAATTCCAAAAGTATTTGCCATGATATCAAGTTGTTCAATTCCCTAGTCTTGCAGGAAGCATCACAAATTTTGCAAGCAGTTCCAATTAGTAAATAGTGATCCACACAGATTTCACATATTTTGTATAAAAATTAAAAACAGCTTATTAACTCATATATTTGAATATTTTCAATACAGTAAAATATGAACAGGTAGCACGCTATAGACCTATTTATTTTCTGCTTCTATTTATAATTTATTCATTATAATTAAGGTAAGCTGAACTTTTTATGCGAGATATGGAAAAGTCAGGAATGCAAGTTGAGCAAGATCTTTAATTAAAAGTAGAAGAGTATGAAATACATGTAACTATATTAAAAACTTGGTATTTAAGTTAATGAGCAAGACATTGTGTTTAAACTCTATATAAACCTGGCTAACATACGTCAGATGCATAATTATTTGTGCAACTTATGCAATTAGATGAAAAATCCACTCATTAAACATTAACTTAAGGTTGACTTGGATTGCAACTTCAAGTACTAAAATAGTTAAAGTGCCCATACATATCCAGTTCATCAAAATTAAGTTGACTCTAAACAAGAGTCGGGCATTAAAACAATTAAATAACATATTAATGATCCTATTTTAATCAGAATATCTTTATAATGATCTTTGTCTTGATGAACATTGAAATCCTTAATAATGAAGAAGTAAATAATCATATATACTTCCTTTTTAGTTTAGAACATATTCTTCTATATTACTACAAGAAATTATCATACAAAAATAGATTCAAAAAAAAAATAGCTTAGTAAAATCTGGGTGTAATACATAAAAAACCATTTATGCATTTTTAGATCTGATAATATTTCACTAATTTAGATAAGCATAAGGCTAAATTTTATTTTTTGGAATATTCTGCTTTATATTTTATATATTTACTTATTTAAATGGAAAAACTTTATTTTTATTTACCTTAATCCATAGCACATAATTATATTGATTGCTAGATGGATAATATAGTCATTAAATGTTATAAACAAATAAATAACAAATTAATTCACAAAAATAAGTGCAATCACTAGCATAAGAAACTAAATTGAATAATGAAAAATGATAAGGAAAAATAGGTTATTAAATTTATTAAGGAGTGCAAAATCTGATTCAGTACATTATAATTCAATATAGTTTAGATGAAATGTAGACTAGGTCTTCAAAAATTGATATTAACATTGATTATTTTTGATTTATTCATCAAAAAGATATGAAAATGAGATAGGATGATAATAGCATTATGTATTAAGACATGGTAAAATAATTGCAAAGATTATGAATGCAGATGGATATTATAGTTAAGACTGCTACAAATTATGAAGGAAATTGATAGATGATATTATAATACTTCCAAATCTATCTATCATATTATAATAATAACTTCTATTAATGCTTTAAGAATCATCATATTAATAGGGAAAGTAATATGAGCTTTAACAAAATGGGCATTCAAATTATCTTTAACTTATAAGTATAAATATTAATGATATTAATTGAATTATCTTTGGTTTTATCAGTACAATTAATCATTATAGTAAAATATTGAATATAAATATCTATTTATTAATATTTTTTAGTTATTCATTACATTACTTGGGGCTTAAATAATATTATTCAGTAGATTACTTTTACGATTTATATAACTTGGTTTTAGATCAAATATTTGATTATTATTTGCTAAATAAATTTCTTCCATATTCATCCCATAACAAGACCAAAAAATTTGATCATCACATGAATAATTTAGAATAATTTTGGTTGGATAAGAAAATGTAATTTTTTTTGAATGAGGTCTTAATATTCAGATATTTAATTCTTTTAATGTCTACTTTCATGATTCACTTTGCATTCATGTTTAATCTTGATATGTAAAATAATCTGTAAGTATGAAGCTGTCTCTTAAGTATATGAATATATATATAGATAAGGTCTTTACTTGAACTTATCCTCTATTAGCACCGATATTATGAATAACAATATTAAAAATAAAATATTAATAGATCCCGTTGTTCTGTTATAAATAATTTTATTATTATTATTTTATGAAAGCACAGTAAATGCAAACTCATCACTATCTTACTATTTTTTATCATTCATTTTACATTTACTCATACTTTGCATCTACTCACAATATTAAATTGAACTTATGTGGATACTATTTTATTAAATCTTAAATTCCCCTCCTATATTTGATTCAATCATCTTTAAGATTCTCTTGAAATTTTGTTAACATCTTCTTTTTTTTTGATTATACCAATAATTACATATATATATTTAATTTATATATGTTGTAGCCTTTGGCTGATTGATTATACTTTAATTTTATTGTTTATTTTAGAGGGGCTAGTTCATGTTATTGAGTTTTTGTATATTTCTCAATAATTCATTAGGCTGATTTTTCAAAGTCTCCTGTTTTTACAAGTTCTTTATGAAATTTATTTCAGGTTTTTTATATTTCTTTTTTCTAATGGCCTTTGGATTTATTTTAACTATGAATGCTGTTGAAACCATGAAAGAATTCTATTTTTTAAATGTAAGATCTCCTTGCTTTTGAGTATAAAAAAACAATTGCATAAAAATTTATCCAGGATTTATTTCAAATATTATTTGGCAATCCTTACTTAAGTTTCCCTATAATGACAAAGATGAATTTTTGCAATATGAATTCAACAAAATACATGTGTAAGGAATTAAAGGAGTTAAACTTAACTTAGAAGGGAAAATATATAGTGATATTGAAATATATAGAACAAATTTTATGGATAAAATAAAATATTTTTATAATTAATCGAGAGATTATGTTTGGATTAAAACAAATACTATATTGTAATCATAGTTAGATTTTGTTTCTATAGCAGAAACTTGCAGAATTACTCCATTAATAAATAATAATATCATTCTCATTAAAAGTAAAAAAATAGAATAAATTATATTGGCATAAGATATGAGATTTAAGATTTAATATATAAAATTATCAAAATTTGAATATCTACTTATGAAGCACTTCCAAATTCAGAATTTAGACAGGCTATGATTGGAAAGCATTACATTTACACGATTATATAACTATAGCCAATTATCAAATGGATCCTGGTACTGTCTCATATAAAACAGTGGATGAATGATTTTATAATATTTGGCTTATTTGAATAATTGAAATTGTATTCTAAACATATTAATAATAATTCATAGTGCCTAAAAGATGCATATGCAGTTGTATTTTAGAAGGAAACTTAAGATTAAGCGAATTATAATGTCAAAGTTGAATTTTCTAATAATCTAGAGTCAATCGCCTTCTGAATAAATTTGGTATTCCCATAAATGAAATATATGGATAGAAAAAAATAATGATATTAAATGTCATATTCAAATCATTAAGTTTCTTTAAGAATCTGTTGAATAAATTTGACCAAGATACAGAATGAAAGAAAAATTTTTTTTCATTATGAACTTTTGTTAATTATTTTTGAAATCAACATCTTTATTATTCCAAGCTACAATCTGTTACCTTATATAAAATAAATGACATTAGCAATATTTTTTTTTCCTATGGTCCAAATGTGATCTTGGTATGATTCTGCCTATTAATGCATCGTTGAATTTAAATAATTTATAAAATTAAAATTGATAAATTCGTATTTGTTATCATTTATAAAACAATATGAATTTTATTTTCAGAAATAGGAGTTAAATCAAATTTAGGTTAAGGAATACATTTCATATTTTCATTTGATTTAACAATATTTATAGTGTTTAAAAATTTTATTCATATTCAAATCGTTAAATAAACAATCTATCTTAAGATTCAGAAAAACAAAATCTTTGTCTCTTAATGTAAATAAAATAATTAACAAGAATTTTATGTTGATGACACTAAAAAAAAATTCTTCAGTAGGAAAAACTCAACGCTAATTTAAATCTCATCTAACAAGGTCTAACTTTTGTGAAATTTAGGTTAAATTAAAGGGGTCATATACTCGAATTTAATGTGACTTTTAAATTTAAAGCAAGTTACAAAATGTCTACATTAATATTTGATTTATATAAATTACTTAGAGTTGGCTCGCCAATATTTATCTTTGATACTAATTGTTTTATTGAAAAATCAATTATTTATTCAAAATAAAATGTCAATAAATTATCTTCTAAAGACATAATATTTTAATTTATCACATTTACTATTTACTATATTGATTTTATTCTAAAACCTTTGTGATCTTGTTACAATTTCATTTATTTCCTTCAATTATTCAAAAATCCTGATGTTCTCTTTTAATATCATTTTATCTAATTTAAGTTCTGGCAATAGCTAATTACTCTATATCACAAGTAATGTTATTTTTGCTTTTTTAAATTTCAAAGGTTAATAACAATTTTGATTTTCTTTTTAATTATTATTCATACAGAAATAACAGCAAAACTCCCTTTGTTATAAAAGAAAATGATATTAATTTCTTTATTTATATTAAATAATAAAATTTTCTTATCTTTCACCTACTACTACACTCTCTTTCTTACTACCTACCCTAACCCTTACAAAATCAGATTTTTTTCTACTATTTTCTACCATCTCTCCTCAATTTTCTGGTGATTTTACGTAGTTATAACTACTAACCCAAAATTGTTATAAGTCTTGGCCTTTTTGATTATATTTTTAGAATACTCCTTATTTTGTTTTACAAAAAAAAGTCACATATCTACTAGAGCAAAAATTTTCAAGGAATGTAATTTTAAAACAGACTAAAAGTTCAATTGATCTGCTCGTTTCCCCATCTGAGTATTGGTCCCAGGGAAAAAAATAGTTACACCTATCTCATATCTTCTTTATAGTGTAATTCTAAATCAACCAGCCTTATAAAAATCAAAATAACTTATGAAATAAATATCATAGAATTGATTTATGATTATTGAAATATGACATGTTTAAATTATTGGGGAATAATCAAAAGGAAAATTATTAATTGAATTTTCTATTGCATATAATATAAATTGATTTCAATTAAGTCATCGCTCTTGACTTTTTTTCAGATTTAAGGAAATTAAAGAGATAAAAAGGTATTTTAAATTACTAGTTTCTTATTAATACAGAATTGGGAATAATTGGATTGGGCTTCAAATTTATTAAGATTTAGGGAGCAAATTTTTATTAGGAGTTGAAACCAGAAAAAGATAAAATTGATAGAAAATAATGAGCACTATTAATTCAAACTCAAGACTAAACTATTCAAAAATCAATCCAATATACCATAAAATGCTTAAGTTATTAGCTTTAAATTAAATAATAGTTTATCTTTTTAGGTTTTAAAAAAGATAGAAAAAAAATTTGAAGGAATTTTAATTCTACATAAATTAAGTAAGTTGTGTCTTTTGAAAAATATATTTTCTTGTAAATTAATAAAAAAATAGAATTGCCATTTTGTGTAAACATTAATAATCAATAAAGAATAATTCGGTAAAATAATATTAATGTTTTATATCCATAATTTTTCATTATAGATTTTCAATCGATGGCTTGTGGACCATGTCTTCTTTCAAAGTACATGTATTCAAACATAATTGTAGCTGCTAGAAGAAGGGCCTTTTCTATTTTTGAAGCATTTTAAGGAAATACAACTCTAAAATTATCAATCAATTCAGACCCAGATTATCTAAATTGCTTTTTCATAAAAGAAACGACCTAAATTCATTTATTTCATTATTACTTCTCCATTAGAAGTTTTAATATTAAAAGTTAATTCATCACATTAGCAACCAGGGGCATCTATGATATATTTCAATTGATCTTGAGAATCAAAAATATGACAACTAAATTTGCAAAAAACAAAAGGATTAATAATATATCCTAAATTTTGATTATAACCTTTTTCTCGATAAAATATATCTAAACGAGGCCTTTTAAATAATAATAAATATTAGAACCTATTCAAACACCAAAAAGTACACCTATACTTTCTAACAAATTTAAAAACAATTTGATCAGAGCTGCTTTAAAATAAAATATCTTAATCTTTAAATCTACAATCATAAACAAGCATCTCAAAAGGCCGATAATGTGGACTAAGTTTATAAAATGAAGTACCTAAATGAAGCTCTTGCAAAATTTGAAGATAATTCTTTGCATTTGAATAATTCTTTTTGAGATAATTATTGCCATTAATCATTTATTGGGAACACTCTAAATACGTTCGGAGACTGGAATCCTAATAAATTATTTTAATTGTAGATCTTTACCAGTCATCACTAGTATAAATTCAAATCTCTACTAAATAGAGATTCCCTATAAAGTGCCCAAAATATCTAAACATCTTTCTTCTCTTTGAAGTTATTGATAATTAGCCATTTAATAATTATTGTTTTATCCCATAGTATCATTCGAATAAAGAGGCGACAACATTTAATAGACAACTTAGATGATTTTAATTATGTTTATCAAGAAAGATAGGTACAAAATTTATAATCAAATTTAGCGTTCCATATATGATTAAAATATCAGAAAATCTTTGATTAGAAAATAATATCTAGATAAATCTTTTTGTATTTTTTATTCTTACTTCTAATCAGTGAACTAGATAAAAATATATTGATTGATACAAAATTTAGATTTTTTTATACCTCCAACTATTCTATATTTTTTTGAATTATAGATTAAAATAAAATATTGTTAATTAAAATTTATTTTTGATGTTAATTCCAAAAAATAGTAGAATGGGATTGAGTAAATAAATTATGAATGTTGATTTTATATATGTGATGTAAATAAATTGTAAATATTTTTTCTCAAATATTTTTTTCTTTTTCTTATTAGAATATATTTATTGGGATTTTTATATCCAAAAAACCAGTTTAGAAAAAAGCATCTTGTTATTTACCTTTTTTTCCACCAAGAGTTAACAAACAAAATAAGAAAATTTTATTGTTTTTTCGAATAATAACAATAGTGATGAGACTATGACTATGAAATTATAATTCCTTATAAAATTAGTATTAATTATTAAAAAAGGATTATATTTTTTCTTAAAAACAAGTAATACTTCAATATATTAAGTTGAAAAAATTACGTATATATGATTTAAAAGAAGTATAAGAAAGAAATGAGGAGCATTTTTTATGCTTTTGATCTTTGGAGCAGAAGCATTAATTAAAATCATTTTATTAATACAAATCATTTAAATAATCCTACTTTGAAATCTTTAGGGTTTTTAGTCTGAGAAATATATGAGATTTAGAAATTTCCAAAATTGTTTAAAACTAAGAAGTGTTTAAAGGGCAGAGAAATCAATTGGATGAAGCCCTAGAGCTTCCAGAAGGAAAGTGATGAATTCCCTTTTTTAGGTTGGTGCTGAAATAAATCCTAGCTGTTAAATTATTTTATTTAACCTCTTGGAGATGAGGAAGATTTGAAATTTTTCCACTAATTGTTGCGACTACTTCTACTATATTAGAATGGAAAATTAATTTTGAAACTTTCTAATACTCAGCCGCCATTTTTGGAAGAAATATTAATTCAAAGATGAAGTAGAAACCAAATGAGTATTATGAAATGGTAGGTCACTAGAAGAAATTAGCTTGGAACGAAGATGAAAAAAATGGATGACACAATAGCCAAAAAAATATAGAATCGAAATATTGAATTTAGTCTTATGAATTTGATTATTTTCTGATCATAAACTTCTCTCTCTTCATCTATTCAGATTAGGATCTATTTTAAAGATCTGTTATAAATTCAAAGAAGATAAGTGAATACTTAAACAATGTTAGAAACATAACTGAAATTGTTTACTCTCCTAAATAAATCAGCTTCTAAATCCATTTTAAGATATTATTAAACACTCTCGAAATTTAAGGCTCTTTAAGAAAGAAGATCCATTATGAATTTAATCAAAATGGAGAATGATTCCTTTAGTGTACTGTTATAAGAAAGATTTTAGTTCTGCAATGAAGATTTGAATAAAATCTAACAGCGAAGATTTGTGCTTGGGTTTTAGTAGTTACCTGAGAAAATGTTAATATACATTTCTGAAGATAGATGATAGGAAAGGTAACTATATTTTTGGATTTATCCAATGCATATTACATGATAAATAGAGATGTTCTATTTCATGCTCTAAGATAGTAAGACAAGTACAAATGATGTTCTCTAATAGAAACTATTTATGATTAGAATGNTATTTTTTCTTAAAAACAAGTAATACTTCAATATATTAAGTTGAAAAAATTACGTATATATGATTTAAAAGAAGTATAAGAAAGAAATGAGGAGCATTTTTTATGCTTTTGATCTTTGGAGCAGAAGCATTAATTAAAATCATTTTATTAATACAAATCATTTAAATAATCCTACTTTGAAATCTTTAGGGTTTTTAGTCTGAGAAATATATGAGATTTAGAAATTTCCAAAATTGTTTAAAACTAAGAAGTGTTTAAAGGGCAGAGAAATCAATTGGATGAAGCCCTAGAGCTTCCAGAAGGAAAGTGATGAATTCCCTTTTTTAGGTTGGTGCTGAAATAAATCCTAGCTGTTAAATTATTTTATTTAACCTCTTGGAGATGAGGAAGATTTGAAATTTTTCCACTAATTGTTGCGACTACTTCTACTATATTAGAATGGAAAATTAATTTTGAAACTTTCTAATACTCAGCCGCCATTTTTGGAAGAAATATTAATTCAAAGATGAAGTAGAAACCAAATGAGTATTATGAAATGGTAGGTCACTAGAAGAAATTAGCTTGGAACGAAGATGAAAAAAATGGATGACACAATAGCCAAAAAAATATAGAATCGAAATATTGAATTTAGTCTTATGAATTTGATTATTTTCTGATCATAAACTTCTCTCTCTTCATCTATTCAGATTAGGATCTATTTTAAAGATCTGTTATAAATTCAAAGAAGATAAGTGAATACTTAAACAATGTTAGAAACATAACTGAAATTGTTTACTCTCCTAAATAAATCAGCTTCTAAATCCATTTTAAGATATTATTAAACACTCTCGAAATTTAAGGCTCTTTAAGAAAGAAGATCCATTATGAATTTAATCAAAATGGAGAATGATTCCTTTAGTGTACTGTTATAAGAAAGATTTTAGTTCTGCAATGAAGATTTGAATAAAATCTAACAGCGAAGATTTGTGCTTGGGTTTTAGTAGTTACCTGAGAAAATGTTAATATACATTTCTGAAGATAGATGATAGGAAAGGTAACTATATTTTTGGATTTATCCAATGCATATTACATGATAAATAGAGATGTTCTATTTCATGCTCTAAGATAGTAAGACAAGTACAAATGATGTTCTCTAATAGAAACTATTTATGATTAGAATGCTTATACGAATAGCTTTACACAGAAATTCAATTTTAACTTAGGAGTGGAATAAGGCTCTCTGCTAGAGCCCTTTCTTTTTGATGTTTATTTCGATTTATTAGTTGAAAAACTTGATAGATTTATTTGATAAAATTATTTGAAATAGAATAAGAAAAAAATTAAAGGAATTCGGCACTGCACAGACTTAAGGCTAATAGAATATTTGCTTATGCGAATGATATTGCAATTACAATGTTTGACTTATTTATCGGTTGGTTTATTAAATAGTTTTTAGAATGAGCTGATGAGTTGGGTTTACGGTGAATATAAGATTTAGATGATGAGAATTTTGAAAAAGGTTAAGAACTTTATTATGGAGTTTTTATTTCACCTAATACCAATCTCACTAAACACAGGAGGCAGGTTAAGGTGAAAGTAACTTTGGTTTTTTTAGTCAATTGAAAATTTAAATAGAATTTGCTTTATGTATGGGAAATATTCTTTAATTATGTAGCTCCTCTAATGAAGAATAGTTTCATTTTGGAAATAAAGAAATGAAAATAAGTTTACAAAGCTTATTTCAACTGATTCTTAAATTGGCTAAGAATACTTCTAATGAAGCTATTGATAAAATATAGTAAGCCTTTGAATTCAGACTATGATGTAGACTATTCATGAATAGATGGCTAGAACAAATAATGTTTGGAGAACCGCTCTGAAGGACACTTTTAAGGAAATTGTTAAGGAAAAAGCTGAAGTATTCGAGCTAAAATTAACGTAGTTTTTTTTTTGAATAGGAGAAGGTGAGACTCAGGGAGTCTTTGATTTTATATAGAAAAGGTGTTCTCTAAAGGAAATCACATAAATTTAAATATATCTTCCAAATTATGATTATTTGGATAGAAACTAGTATAGCTGGGGTAAGTGCAAAGAATTTTTGGTTTAGTGCACATTTGATTAGATATAAGTTTATGTTCTTTTGTGTTAAAAGACTTCTAAACTCTGCATAAATTTGAAAAGACTAAGAAAACCATTAAATGTTTATAAAGAAGAACAGCTCTGCTTGAAAATGTAAAATTTGAATTAGAGACTTAATTCTTTAGTTTCTGCTTGTGCAATATGAATGAAACCTAAAATTACTAAAATTTTAGTTTATAAAAACAGAAAAACTCTGCATAAATGCAATAGATCATTAAATAGACGAAAAATACATAATCACAGTTCTGTTTAGATAAAGAGAAATAATTTTCATCAATTTTTATTTTGTAATAAATTTAACATTGTATTTTTCAAAGCAGTTGCTGGAATTAATTATGGGAAGAATGTCAATTACTTTATTATCAATTTTCTATTAGGATTAATTTTAGAAGCCATCTTGAAAATTAATAAAAAATTTTTGTTTTAGTAATTCCTATTACTTTAACAATTTATTTTATCTAACAGTAGGAATCAATGTTTATTTATGAATCTATTTCTTACTAACTACAACCTTAAATATATCATATCAAGAATTAACTAATTAAATTTTTCTTCGCTTTCTTCTGTCGCAACTAAAAAGTTAAGGCTTCTCTAGCATTCAATGATCCAAAGCTCTTAGTTTTTATCTAAAATAAAATCAACTCCGAAAATTCTCCTACTCTACTATCAATAAAAAGTTTATGTTTGACCGAATTAAAAATATGAAATAGTTTTAAATAATTTTGAGGCATAAAGTAATCATTTAACCAATCTTTTGATATTACAAATTCATCTATTATCAGAAGATCTTGCAATTTTTCTTAATTCCAATCAATATAATATTCATTATTTTATTATTAAATGTCTTCCTTTTTATATCCATATAAGATTGGATACTATTTAAAAATATTATCGAAACTCTATGTTATCTCCCTTTTATATTCAAATATTTTTTATTAAGTTACCTTAAACAAATAGGATTTTTATGTATTCTTGAATGATTTCCTTTTAATTATTTTATCCACAAAAGTTCCATTATTATTATTTTCTGATTATCTATTTATTATCCTTATCAACAAGTAAAATTCCTTTTCCAAAATGTATTTTATTTTTATATTTGTAGTTATGGTATATTTATATTTCTATAAATAATAGCCCCTTCCATTTATACTTTAATATTCCAGAGAATTAATGATTGAGAAAGACTTTTAACATTCTTCTAACTCCCACATCCTTTAAGATTTTTCCTAAAAAATTGCTTTTTATAGATACATTTCCTTAGAGTAGCGAAGTTAAATAAATTCTTAAGTTTTAAGATTCTGTTGATTTTAAAGCTATTTCTTCTTATTCAGGTACATCATATATTCAAAAAATAAGCATCATGCTTCTTTTCCTAAAAACTTGTTCTCAAATATTTTTTGCCTAAGGGTATAAGGACAGATGCTCTCTAATTTAAAATTAATAGCAATACTAAATCAAGGTTAATATATTCTATTAAATTGGACATGGCTGAGTAAAGTTAGGGCTGACATCATACATTTAGTTTCGAATAATAGATATAGAGAAGTCATTTCTTCTATAATCTAGAAAAAAATAACTATATTTTAAAACAATTTATGGGTGGAAAATTTTATAAATATCATTCTTCAAACAATAAAATGGATCCTTTTTTATCACAAGTCAAGTGCCTCTGTTTTCAATAAATAAATATTAGAAAACTATTGTTTAGAATATTTTTTATGAGAAATGCTTATATTTATAATTTATATTCTTATGGTATCAGTTTTTAATGCAAGATAGCTTATGAAAAGTTTCCATTTATTTATTCGATTCAAAATTATTGTAACAAAATTAAGGTAAGTCATCACAAATTATGAGTGTAAAAATTATTAATGTTTGAAGCTTCATTTAAGTTATTTAGATCAATTATTTATGTTTACATCTCAAAAATATCAAGTAACACACTCCCACAACATGAAATATCAAATCATACATATATTCAGTTATTTGAAGAAAGGGTGTCCACATTTTTTAGAATATTTTGCATCCCCATCCATTATTACTTAAATTAGTTTTAAATGATAAAATGTTAGAGTAAAATTGAACATATGGAGTAGGTTGATTTTTCAATTTTTTTTAGTATCTCCTCTAGTTATTTATGTAGAACAATTAACTAAGATAAAAAGCAGGTATTATATTGTATTGTTAACTTTTATAAATGAATCATGATTACGAAAATATAAGCTAAATTGTATCAAAAAAATAATTAAAATTTCTATAAAAAAAATATTTAAATCATAATATATTTTTGCCTTGAAACAATTTTTTTGCTTTGCAAGTGGTTCGATCCTCTTTTATTCTATTTTATTTTGTTAATTTTTTCTTAACCAAATTTTAATGACAGATTAATTTTATGATGACGTATTAACATTCAATTAAAATATCAATTACATTTTCTATTAAAAATATTCTTGTAATTTATAATGGACTTAAAACCAGAATAGATAGAGGAATAAAGAATAGAAGAATAGTAAAAAGAATAATAACCATAAGAAAAACAATTAACAATAAAAATCCTAAAGGCACCAGAGATTTCTTACCTTAATAAGTGTTGATTAGAAAATAAGCAATTAAGATAATAACTGATATATTTGAGTAACACGGAGCAGTTGAAATTGATACTCCTGCTTTTGAATTGAGAGAAATATTAATGGGAAAATATGGTGAAGTAGGAGGAAAATTAATATATGATCTTTAAGACTAAGGAGGTGAAATCCTATCTTTACGATATGATTTAACAGTACCTTTTGCTAGATACATAGCACTCATGGATATAAGAGATTGAAAAGATACCATGTTGGAAAGGTTTATAGAAGAGAAAATCCATCAATTTCATATGGGAGATTTCGTGAATTCTTTTAGTGTGATTTTGATTTTGCTGGAGAGTATTAATCATATTATATTAGAAATGATCCTATGGTTGCTGATGCAGAATTAATAAGAATGGTTGATTAAATATTTACTAAGTTAGATTTAGGACCATTTCATATTAAAGTTTCTCATAGAAAGCTACTGGATGCTATGATTAATATTGCTGGAATTCCGAAAACTTAATTCAAGACAGTTTGCTCGAGTATTGATAAATTAAACAGATAATCATGGAAAGAAGTCAAATAAGAATTAACAGAGTAGAAGGGTGTAACTGAAGAATAAGCAGAAAAATTAAGTTAATTAGTTTAATTAAAAGGCGAACCTTACTAGATGATTTAATAACTTAAAGAAAAGAAATTATTTGAATAATAAGGATAAGAAGCTTTAGATGAAATGGAACTATTATTTAACATATTGAAATAAATGAATGGATTAAAAAATGTGATCTTTGATCTTTCTTTAGCAAGAGGAGCTGATTATTATACTGGATTAATCTAAGAGACTGAATTATTAGGACGATAAGTAGGTCCAATATCTGGGGGGTATTTCAATTTATTTTAATATTTAGAGGTCGTTATGATAATTTAGTTGGTACGTTTTAAAAAAATAGCATACCTTGTGTTGGTGCAGCCATTGGAATTGACAGAATCTTTCCAATAATAGAAGAAAAATTTAAGAATAGTGGTAAGGTTTTTCGTGAAAACCAATCAGATTTCATTGTTGCTACTATCCCATCTCATAACATTGATATGACTGCTGAGAAATTTAAAATCTATGATTTATTATGGTCAAATGGGATAAAGGCAGATGTTTGCTATAGATTGCATTGGAATTTGGGTAAACAATTAACTTATGCAAATGAATAATAAATCCCATATGCAATTGTTATTGGAGAGGATGAAGTTAAATAAGAAATTGTTTAGTTAAAGGATTTGATATCAAAAAAAGAAGAGATTGTTAATTTGAAAGATCTCATTAAGGTCATAAAATAAAAAGTAGAAAATTGAATTAATCAATTTACAATTATTAAGGGACATTTAATTTTTTTAATTAAGTTCTAGTTTAACAAATTTAAATTGCAAAATCTTTACATAAATTATTTTATTTAGATTGTTAATAAATTTCTTGAGAATCATTGTAACTGACTCTCAAAAAAATCACTTTACTCTGTTCTAAAAATACCAAATCTTTTTTGAGTTTTTGGATATTTTCTATAATTTTAATGTAAATATTATCAATTTACCTATTTACTATCCATCATCATAATCCACTTTATAGATAATTAAACCTTATATATTTATTTTTACTATAGAATATTTAACATTCTTTAAAGTTTAAGAGTACAAAAAGCAGAGTAATTTCATATAAATCAATCCAAATTCCTTATTTTCTACTAAATTTTTATCAACATCTCTTCCATCTACATATTATATAGTTCTTGCATACTTTCTTGTGATGCAATATTATCACTAATCAAACACTTGCTCAATATTTCCATTGAATCTTCGATTCTCCAAGTTTCTTTCTATGAAAATATTCACCAATTTTCTTTAATTTTTTTATTTATGGATTTTTACTTTACATTTCAATATTAGAAATATAATTCTCCTAAATTAGTTCTCTAATTCCTATAACTAGCAAGATTGAAAAGATGATTAAATGAGAATTATTCTTTTGATTAACTTTTTTTTGAAAATAAATCAAAATATTTGTAATTTACTTATTAATATATAATTGCAAAAATTTCATCGACAAACAAAATAATGCAATCTACAGTTATTAGAATCATAAAGTCATCCTTTATAAAATATAGATAAGAAGATTTATTGATAAAAGATCTAAATCGGATCACCCAAAGGGGCTTTATTCATAAAAAACTCAATATTAAAATCCAATGGAATCAAATTTGGAATCTTGATGAAAAATTTGAAGTATTTATTAAAGAGAACTCAGAAGATTTTATCTACAGGAACAGAAAGAAAATATCAAAAGAAATGCTAGAGATACTTTCAAAATGAAGAAAAAAATGGACTAATACTGTCTGTACTTAATTACAGAATTAAAATAGCATTATCGGAAAAGCTAATTAGAAAATTATTATTTATAAATCTCTTAATAGGTGATAAATAATATTTGTTGTTTTTATAATATATCAAAAAAAAGTTAATTATTAAATAATCGTAGAAAAATACTATTTATATATTAACATTATAAGAATGTATAATTAAACTTTGACATATCACATGATGTATCATTATTGAATTATTGCTTTTTAATTTTTCATTAACTTTTGTTATATGATTTTTACAATGGTTCTACAGTGCTTATTATTAATCTTATATATTCATAATCATTAATAATTTTAAATAAAACAATTTTAATTCATTTAAAAAATAAATTTTAATTAAGTAAATTCTTAGTATTTGATTATTGAAAAAGGCCATGTAAATACCAATTACATTTTAATTAATAAAGTAAATTTATATAAATATTAAAATAGGATATTTTTGAAATTTATGAAAACTTCAAACCTATTCTCTTCTTTAAGTAAGATTTAAGAAATAGATAATTTTATTAAGAGTTTTATTTAAAAATTGAAGAAAAAGACCCACCATGGGTAATTGCTTCTAATCTCCAAATAATTTCAAAAGGGCTGATATTGATAATTGAAAAATCTTTAATCAAGGTTTCATTCTAGATTCTTCATTCAACTTTTAAAAAGATAATTTACTTTTTATATGGAAGTTATGAAAGTTTTTTATTGTCAAAATCTGCATGCTCTTGCCATAGGTTCTCATTTATTCCTGGTAATGTTTTTCTCTTTTCAAAAATTCCATAATTACATACTTGGAACTATTTTTGGCCATTAGGATATATGGTAGATTAAATACCCTTCTAATTTTATTCTTTAGATTCATAAATGTATTTTAACTTAGGTTTAAATATTTTAGTGTTTTTTTTTTGTGAGAATTTTAAATGAATAAAAAACTTTGGAATAGGCTTCTTAGCAACATAATAGTTGATAATACTAATATTTTATTTTGGTTGCTAATATTTATTTTAAATTTTGTTTTTGATATAAATATCCATGATTTTTCGATTATACTTCTAATGTGATAATGATGATTCAGATTTCATATTAAAAACTCAAATAGTATTACATCCTTATTATATATAGATTTGACAATCTTACTTTTATCAATATCAAGTAGAATAATGCTTTCTGATTAAGAAGTGTCGATATTTAATGATAAAGGGCTTAATCACATTTCATAATTTAAATATAATGCATATCAGAGTTTGGATGAAATCAAGCATTTTTGGTTTATATGGTAGGAGTTAGGGCTTTTTAAATATGGATTAAAAGGAATTCGTCTGTGACAGCTTTACATTTAAAAATAGAGCAAAAATTTAGAGAGAAAATAAAATTTAGAGAACTATTACTGATTCCCTATTTAGTAAGATATATATTAAGTTATTTTAGTGAGGTCGCATATCAAATGAATAACTCTCCATTTAGAACAAAAATTAGATGAAGTTTATACTAAATTGATAATTAAATATAAAAGATAATAATTCTCTTATTGCCTATTGAATTTAAAAAAGAAAATGGGATTAGTGATGATCGTTTTTGTTCTAAACATCATCAATTTGCTTGATTAATTAAATAAAATTTGGAACATTTATTTATTAATTTTTATGAATATCAAGAAAATTTGGAAAAATTTATAAGATTTTATTTAAAATATAGGTTTTATTTGTTTCCTTTTATTAGAAAGTTATTTAGTGATTCATATAATCCACTTTGAAATTGAATTTACTAAAATGATTAGAAATACGCCTAAGTATTCTTAAGTAGAATTATTTAAAAAATAGGTTGATGATTGTAAATTCGAACTATTATTTCTAAAAATAATTGAGGGAATCATGATTTTTGTTACTTTTTAAGGAATCTGGAGAAGAGAAAAAATGCACTTAATTAATTTTCTTGTTTAGGTGCCATGTAATGTTTCGTGACCTTATTTCTCTACTTATTTTATTTCAATTTTCTCATGATTGTAATAACAATTAATATTTAAGAACAAGCATATTTGCTGCTCTATCCTGCTTTTTAGGATTACTTAAGAACCTAATAATTTAAATTAAGACTAAATTTAAGAAATTTTTTTATTGCTTTTATAAGAGTATCAACTATATACTACAGATGATGATTCTTTAAAAATGAGTAGGAAGTTTGAAAAAATTAAACTACAATTCTGTGATACGTAATATAAGAAAATAATATTAGAATCGTTTAGTAGATGGAAAATAAGAAATGAAGTCAAAAAAATTAAATCTTAGAAATATAGATTTGAGATTAATACTTAAAATTTGCTTTATAACAATTTTTAAATATTTATTCAGTTCAATGTTATATGTTTCTTCCAATAATAAATTTAAAGAAAATAATAACTAAGACATAGTTTAAAATTTAAAAATTCATGCTACATTTTTTAGCTTTAACAATCTACTTAAATCCTTTGTATTTTTCTTTGGTAAAAACTTTCTGGTATTTTCGTTGTAAAGTGAGCTTAATACTTTTACTACATAACTGAAAACTGTTAGCTATTCATTCTAGTCTAATATATGCCTGATCACCAAGCCAAAGTGCATTTCTTAAGGATTATTTATAGATCTTACTATTAATTAAACAAAATATTTTTTCCATATATCTAACCAATTTTAGACCTTTACCAAATAGTTTATAAATTTAATACTATTATGAATAATATATCTTATTATTTCACATTACATAAATAAGTCATTATTCACTTTATTATAATTTGAAAGATATTTTTACAAAATAACCTATAAAGTAGTTTAAAACTGATTCTAGAGCAAAAAAGTCATGATTTAAAAACAGTTAACAAAATAAACAAAAATTTTTTGTTATATTTTGTATCCAAAACTATAATACTCTTATACAAAGTCAAGAAGAAAGATTAATTTTATTAATATATTGCTATGCACACTGAAGATTAAGAAAATAATTTGATAAATTATTTTCAAATTAATGATATGGATGTACATAATTAGAGATACTCATTAAGATAGATTTGATTTATTGCATTTAATATAATTGTTATGAATTTTAGATGTTTAGAAATCCAGCTTTAGTTAGATGATTGACTTTAATAATACTAATAAAATATTAAAAATAATATTTTATCAATAGTCAATAATTTAATACTACATAAAAAATGCAGAATTTTGAGTAAATTTTGTTCTTAATGAAAATATCTTAGCTTATTATACAAAAATTTTGTATTTTTATCATTTGATACTAAAATCCATACTTTAAACCTGAAAATTTTTTAAATAATTTTTATTATAATGATTATTATTATAAAATAATGAAATAACTTAAGCAACTCAATATTAATTTAATTATGTGATTAAGAATAGATTAATATTAAGTTGATATTTATAATGATTCTCTAAGTAAGTTAATTTCGACTGCCCTCAGTTAACATTTTATTTGAAAGAATGAAAAAAATTATTTAAGAATTATTTTCAAGATGAAAATAATCAATATTCTCTCTAAGTTAACATTTTATAAATTAAGAAATTTATTTTATTGCTGTTATTGTTCGAATTCATCCAATTTATTAAAAATAAATGAAATATTAACAAGCAACTATTCCTAGAAATTTTCTAATAAAGGTAAATGTTGAAAATTATTTCTATGAGTTTATTATTATAGTATTTCAATCATCTAGTTCAACTTTATTTATTTCATTAATATATTAAAGAATTTTATTAAGTTGAACATAGTTAACAAGTTATTCCATATTTTAACATTGATTTTGATAAAGAAGTATAAAAAGAAAATACAGATACAATTGCATTCATAATATATATTTAAATATTCAAATTTTAATGACAACATCTGTCCCTTATTGTTCTAATTTTTTAATTAGATCTCTCTATTAATCTCTTGTAAAGCGCAACAAACATTAAGACATATCTATATAAATTTCATTTGTTTATTCATTGAGAGTTTCTAATTTTTCCCTCAATTCATCGTTATTAAATTCACAATTTATTAAAATCATTTTTATTCTAAGCAGATTTTTAAAATTATATTCTTAAAAATCTAATTTGATATTTTCAAATGTAATATCAAGAGTTTCCAATTACTGACTTCTTAAATTATTAGAAAATTAAAAAATCTAAATAGTTCCTTTATTAATAATTGATGCCTTGAAAAGTTTCAAATAATTGAATTTTGCAAATAATTATTCACAATTATTTAGAATAAGATTACCAGAAACTTCAAAATAAAATTCCTCAAAATTATATCTATCTAATTTTAAAAAATTCTCATTTATATTTAAATTTATCTCGATTTCTACCTAAGCATCATTATTTCTATATTATTGTATTATTTAGAAATAGGAGTATGAGAAAGCAATTAGAGTTTTCTTTCTTTTAACGCAAAATTCCATTTAATGTTCATCTGTAGCTTCTACTTAGAGTTGCAAAAACTTTAATTATTTCGGGCAATTTCTAATAATTACATTAATATGAGGAATATGGATTGGATTTACTTCATCTAAATAATAATTCAATTTTAATTAATAGATTTGACTCACTTTTAAACAACTTATTAAATCATCTAATTCGCTTCCCATACAAAACAATTTTTATGCTTAATCAATTTCTAAAATACTTTTTATAATAAGAAGTCCTTTTTGAAAATAAGCTAACATCTTCATTTTTTTTAAACCATAGTACTGAGAGTAATTTAATGTTTTCAAATTAATTTTGCAATTGTGTACTTGGGAATGAAATAGCTCTACTTTTGAAATAATTGAAAAAGATTTAGGATGTTCCAATATTATTTAGTTTGATATTGTATTTAAATAAAACATAGATGAGTAAAATTAATCGACTGAAACTTTGCTCAAAATTAAAGCTGGAATCAAATAATCTAAAATAATAACTTCTAAAAAATCTATTAATCTCTCAATAGTGTCTAACAGTAGTCTGATGAAAGCAAAGGCCCAAAGTGCATCAAGATGGTCATATTATAATGATAAAATATATAGAAAGATCTAAGCTATTTTATTGTAAACATCTTCGGTATTTATTCTCCACACTATAGCTTCAAATTATGGTTAAAATTTTAAGTCATCTTTTATTTAAAATTTGTCTTCAAAATTAAATATTTAATTAGCTACATTCCCTTTAAGTTTTGAAGCATAATACTTGAACTTATTACATGTTTAAGAACCAAAATATCTATTAACTCCAGCAAAATGTTTCAAATCTTTTTTTAAAATTCTTTCAAACATTTCCCATGTTTATACACAGGCACTTAAAGTAAAAATTAAAACATGACTCAATTATGTTTAAATTGAAAAAGCTTTAAATACAACCTGTTAAAATATTGTATATGACAAAATCTAATAGATAACATTGATAATAGCCAAGAATAATATTGCCTTTGTAAAAGTATTATCATAAACACTTACATAGACAAAAGATAAAATGTATAGTATAAAGTCCCAAGCAGTTTTTATATAGTTTTAATAACAATACAATTTTTTCAATTAATAATGGTAAAACCTGTACAATTTATATAGACAGTAATTATCGCCAACTGATTCTAGAAAAAAATCAGTTTTATCATAAGCATCTATTTTATCATTTGCTTAATTAAAAATTTTGTTTAAGTCACTTTGTCTTCGTTTTTTGAAGTTGGAAATCAGCTCTTAAAATTCTTTAGAAATTGTTATATACTCATTTTTAATAAATTAAGATTTTTATTCATCTTACCAACCTACAGTTATTTTTGGATTTCCAATAAATTGTATTTCTTAATTATTGTTCAATTCTTCATAAGCATCTTTAACCAACCATATATAATCAAAATATTGTAAGGCTTAAGGGTAAAATTTTAGATTTGGGATACTTTTAAAAATACCCTTCAAAAGTATTAAACTATTTTCTTCATGATATAAAAGACATATTTTCTCTACATTAATGAATTTAAAACAATTAGCTAAATACTACAAAGTATCTTATTCATATTTATCAATAAAATGAAATTAAATGTTTTAATATTGCTTTTACTTTAATAAGAAACCTATTATTTAAAACATACATTTTTTCTTTTGATAAGGGGTGAATTTACTTGGATTAATATGAAAATAACATGATTTAACAAATGCCAAATATTTAAAATTAGATTAATATAATTATTTTGATTCTTAAATGAATTTTAATTCGATATCTTTTAATGTAAATGTATAATTTATATTTGTTTGCAATTAACTATTAGATTTGGAGTATAAGATGAATTAAAATTCAAAAAAGAAATTAATAAAATTAATTCCTAATAATCCATAACAAATAATATTAAATCCATCCCATGATCCTTTTAATTAATTAAATAAGCCTTAAATAACTAGTTAAGGAATTGTTTAAAAAGTAATCATTATTATCATTGAGAGGAGAGCAACTCTGTGGAATATGAAATCCCTAAAGATATTGATAGTTTTTTTTCTATCTTTAAAAAGCCTACATGGATTTCTTTATTTATCTTCATAACTCAATTTTTAGTATTTATTAATTTAACTGAATGAGAACTATTTAATAGATTAATCTCTGTTGTAATAAATAATAAATGGAGCTAATTTAAAATAACTTAATATTCCAAAAAGCATATAATATATATAATTAGTTATTTCAACAAATATACTATGTTCAACAGCTTTTTTGAAATGATAAGTATATATCCAAACTCCACTATGAATTGAAACACATAAAATTATTGATAAATTATAACAGATTTCATAGTATACAGTTTCATCACTAATGTTATTATATGAGCAATAAATTAATGTAAAGATAAGTTCTAGAACACTTGAAAGGTATAAAAAGGCTTGAAATCCTATTTTAGCATAATATTTCATTATGCTTAAGCATCCTTTAACTTCTATTAAACGAGTTTCTATTATTTCTTAGAAGTCACTCTTGTAATTTATTTAGGTATGGGGTTTTTTATCTAAATGAGAATCAGAAAAAAGACCAAAGCATCTAAAAAGTCGTTGGCACATTTTTTATGTCAATAACAATAAATAATATCATTTTATAAAATCATTTCTTCTATTTCAAGATGAATTTTAATCATCCATCTGAAAACTGTTATAATTATCTCATTTTAATAAATGATCTAAAAGTCTTGTGTTTTTTTCTAGTAAATTTAAACTCAATTTGAAATGTGCAGTCTTCTAATAAAATTTTAATTAAATGGATAAATAAAAAAAAATTAAATAAATTTGAAATAGTATTAGTATGTTATCATTTTTTTTGATAATAACCAGCATAAAAATAATTATCAATATTAATTGAAAGATTTTTATCAAACAGTTGAGCATCCTAAGAAATTGCCTTTAATTAGAACTTTAATTGCATACCTGTTATCCTTATCCAGATTTACTTATTTTCTGTTATTCAACTAGAATTTATTTTAGATTATTTGTAAAATCTACATCTCAAAATGATCCTTTAACTATTTATAATGGAATAATTATACAGAAGAATAGATGAACCGAATATTTCATATTTAGTTCAGAATAATATTTAATGTTTAATTGCATCTGAACGATTAGTTATATCAAATCAGTTTTAGTGTTGTATGTTGGATAAAGTATTGAATTTGTTGATAATATTTTAATTTATAGTTAGTGAGTTAAATTTCTAATTACTCTTTTGAATCATCATTATTTATACTTTATAAAATTAGTTAAATGATTCCTTTTCTCATTGTAAATAAATTAAATGAGTATAACTTTACAATATTTTTCAATACGAATTTTAAGATCTTATTATTTAATTATATTCGTTATCCGAATTCTTTAAAATTAATTGAATTGATGATCTTGCCAAAATTAGAATACAATTTTTGACTATTTATCTGTATCATATCTAAAATTTATATAGAGTAGAAAAGAAAAACACCAAATTTAAGTTTAATTGATTAAATGTATTTGTCCTTAGGCATTTGTGAATTTGAATTCTGTCGGGGAAGTAAGTGTGATTGATCAAAATTGTCATTTAGACAACTATAATAAATTGAAGCAATAACTGTTTATTTTATATGATAGACCATCCTTAATTTAATTTCTGGTTTCTAAGAATCTCCAATAACATTTTTTTAAACTTCCTTTATGTTTTTCTGTTTAGAAATGAGGAAGAGAAAATGATTGTTATCTCTTTTTTATTACCACTAACCTAGTTTATTTATGCCTTTATTTCTCAAATTTAAATGTAATATGTATAATTTGAAACATTTCTATTCATTTAGATTAATTGGGCTATATTTTAAGAAAATGTGAGATACCTTATGAATGATATTGCTAATGATATTTTCGTTCTTCAAACTAAACCAAATACTAAAGTATCCATTTTTAGGTATATACTTTTTTAGTAAAATTATTTGATCAAAAATCCTATTATTGTTAAAGAAATGTTGTTCACTTCATAAAAATCTAATTTAGTACTTCTCATTACTTATTTTACTTACTTTAAGTCTTAAATTAATATTCAATAATCCACATTCTCGTTGCCATTTGTAATTAATTATCATGAAACATTTAGAAATTCATATATTCATAACTATTTAAACAAGATGGAATAAAGGTTTAAATAGCTTAAGAAAATTTAATTATAAACAGATTGGATTTTTCTTAGTAAAGAAAAATAAGAACCTCAATAACTATCTTTTTAAACAATTAAACTCTCATGTAAAATGTTCTATTTCTTCCAAAAAGTCATTGAAGTAATGATGATGTTTCAACTAAAATAGCAGTCATATATTTTAATAAGAATTCAAGAAAGATAATTATACAATAAAATCAATAAAGCTAAGATCTCTTGGATAAAATTTTTATATAAATATCTTAAAGTAATAAAATTCTATTTTTTCTAGAATCTTTTGACTTATTGAAAACAAAATAATTCTTTGACTACATCTAATTTTTAAGATTTACTCTTGACATAAATATTGCCCGAACTATTTATCATTAACTTAATTTAAGCTAGTATATCTATCTCTAGTGAAGAATGATAATCATTTGAAAATAAATTCTATTTTTACTTTTACCGCGTTTCCAAATTTATCATTACAATCATCATTAGCATAAAGATTATTCTAACCAACAATTATATCTTTAACAATTGAATTGACACAATTTTGCCTTGTACTATGATGCATGAAACTCCATTCATTAGGTGTTGCCATTAGTTTAGATCCAATCTTAATTTTCTCCATGTTTTGTAATATGTAACCCAAATTCATGAGAACCTTTAGGAATATAATATTCATGTTGATGATCAGAAGGTTCCCTTCATTCCTTCTCTGTAAAATTACCCCAAATCATATAGTATCTTGGATTAAAATCATCAGAAGAAAGAATTATTCCAGAGCTTTTTGCAAATTATTCTCCAGCAATTCTATGTAATCTATTTTCCCGTTACAATATTTATATAAAAATTACTATGCAGCTATGATGTTTTATATTTATTATTAAATCTCATCATTGGTTCTTCCCTAAATTAAAAAATTAATTTCAAAAATTTCCTTTATTACTCATAATATTTCAACTTAATCAATTGGAATTGATAATGAGCTTGATAATTTCTAGTCTTACATAATTTTATCATAATCAAGTTATTTATTTCTAATCTTGAAAAAGATTAATCTTAAACAAAATTTGTAAAATTAAATCCAATCCAAAAGAATATATTTTACTTGTTTTCAATAACTATATAATTAAATCTCATAATAAATATTCTTTTAAAACATAAAGCATCAATTCAGGATTCGAGGTTTCAATATTCTAAATTTAATGAGGAATTGATTTTGTTTTACTAAATCAATATAATTTTATGAATAATAATTACTAAAATAGTTGTTTTTAGTATTTCTTTTTAATCCTTAGTAAGAATATTATTATAATCTATTTCATCAATTTCATTTTTTTAACAAACTTATTTATTAATCATAAAAGGCATAGCAATAAATGCTTATTATTTCTAATTTTATGTTATGATATATTCTAAGTCCTCCCTTTGGAAAAAAGAATAGGATTTTGTTTTTATATAAGTCCATAAATATTTTTAAGGGGAGAGAGTCTAAAGTTCTGCACATTTTTAAGAAAGAGATCATCATTGATAAACTAATTTGATATTTTTTTCTTTATATTATCATACTAATATTTTTATCTTCTTTGACTCAATAGTGGTGAATCTTCCCAGGTCAAAAGGGATTCAGTCTTGGGTGCATCAAGCCCTAATGCGATTAGGGATATTACTATCAAACAAAGAGAAAAAAGAAATAGTTTGAAGGGCAAGGAATTGCCCCTGTAGTCTAGATCTGGATTAATTATCTTATATTTTGTTCTCAAGTATCTCTTAGTTAAAGATGCTGGAAAGTTTGGAATGGAAAAGGCTTTCTGAAGTAAATTGTTGTAGTAAAAAATTAAAAGTTTTAATTAATTCTGATGATTGTAAAAATATATTTGTGTATGGTTTAATAATAATAAAAATTTTTTTTAGTAATAATCACTTTTATTTTTATTCAATGAAGTCGCTCCCTACTAAATTAATAATATTAGATAATCGAATTTCTATTTATGTAGTTTTAGTTATATCATCTTTCTTTTATTTAATCAATTCTTATACACCATTGATTATTTTATTATGGCATAATGTATTATGTTATTTACATTTTCTTAATGGCTATAGAAGCAATTCTTTAATATTATTTAGAATAGTAAAATATTAAGTAGTATACTTTATCGTTTTTATTTTAATTTACTATATATCAAATTTTATTCTCTTAAATTAATTTATTGTTTCATTCTTATGAAAATTATTAGAATTAATTTAATACTAATTCTTAATATCAATCTGAAGTTATTTATTTCAATTCACAAATTAACATCATTTATTCTTTTTTATAAAAAGTTTTTATAATTGGAAACCAATTTTAGAAAATATGTTTTGTATCATAATTATTAATTTTTTGGAATTTATTGAATTAGTAAGGTAAATATTTCAATCATTAATTTAATACATTTAATAAAGATTTTATAGATGCTTAAGTAACGGTTAATAGCTATAAGCTTTACCTTTTATTAAATTGAAATATCATCTTCTCAGTCTTTAATTTTCATTTTGAATAATTGGTAATTAATAATCATTTTTAACTCACTACTTATATATCATCAATTAAATTCATATGAATTTATGTTTAGTGATGTATGCTTTATCATCTGTATATAGAAAGATTTACAAGATATATTAAGATTTATTTCATTTCAATTTCTTTATTATTAAAAATCTGTAAATAGTAAATAAAAAAGAGATATACGACTACCTTATGGTACTCCAATTTAGAAAGAATAGTTGATGTTTTTATAATTGATAAATTCGCTACTCATTAATAAAATGTAAAATTCTACCTCTTTTTAGGTTACAATTATTTTTATTGATATAATTTAATTCTTTTTAGAAATTATTTTAGCAAAAATCACTAGTTTTTGAAAATCTAAATTCTAACACATTTAAATAATCGGCTTTATATTTTCTAATTGGTCTAAACTAGTGTTTAAGAGGTATTAAAAATCAAAAGTATAAAATCAAATCATCAATTAGAATTTTATTGCTACTCATCTTTTACTTCATATAATTAAATTCTTTCTTTGATATGTTTATTTAATTTAGGTATTACTAAGGTTGATTTAACATTCTGGTATAATCTTATAAGCATTAGGTTTTTATTAGACTAATTTCATGGAAATATCTTTCTAGTCAATTTCATTACAATATTACGAATAAGGGCAGTATATTTTCATTTTATAACGTTCTAATTAAGAATAAACTACTTTTCATTTATTCTCTCTACATTTTATTATATGATATGAAATTTATTCGGATTATATAAGGCTTATAATTATTTAAGAATTTTTCCTATGCATCTTTTAGAATTTTCTAATTCCTATTTCTATTTGAGTCTCAAATCAAGACTAAGGTTTTCAGGTGCCAAGTAATCAGGTCCCCTTCAGGAGATACTTCTTGTGCATTGGAAGGAAATTATTAATTCTCTTTCATACTCTACATTTGAGAACATTGGGTGCCTTTAATTCACACAATCATCTAGGGTAATTATAAATGGAATCAAAAAATGCTGAGAAGTTTGGCCAAACTTAAATTGACTGCACAGATAAAAAGTTTGCTAAAAATGTTTTAATTGCCTCTTAGTTTATTTTTTATTGCATCCACATATAAAAAGATAAAAATAATCATAATTTATTTTCAATTTTTTCATATATTTATTTCTCCCATCTATATGAATTTATTTATACTTTTTATAGCCATATTTAGATAAATCTATTTCTTTCTAAATAAAATAATTATGTAGTCTTTTAAATTTACAGTTCATAATGAAAGTGTTTTGATAATTAAAATATGAATATATGAAACTGTGTTATTTTTTATCATTTATTGCATATATTTAATCAAAAAATTAAGCATTTTTCTTTTTCCTGATTTGATCCTTTTTGATTTTTACTTGAAGTATTTTCTGATTTTTAACCTTTAACTTAAAGGACTTTTTTTATCGCTTAGTCAAAGACCTCTTTTATACCTTCTTATGTTTATGATGAACATTCCAGATATTAATATTGCAATTAATCAATTTTAGATTTTGCCTAATAATTAATTAAATTTAATATACTGCTTCATATTAGACATGGCTTGGATTTGACAAATTTCTTTAATCTTTGTTATTTCCAACAAAAATTTTTGGTACATTTTTTAATTCAGGAACATCTACATCTTAATACCATTTAGTAACTGCATTTTAGAAACTCTATTCATCAATAATAGAGAAGACTATCAAAAAGACATCAGCTTAACCGTAACTTAATATTCTTAGCCTATTATATGTTTCTTATCCAGCAGTATCCCATAAACTTAAATTAATCTTTTTTCCATCAACAACTGTTGTAATTGTGTAATTTTCAAAGACCTTAGGAATGAAATCTTGAGAAATCTAATCTTTTATATAACTAGTCTTGCTTAAGTAAATACCTCAAAAGTATGTCAACTTTTCCAACATTGGCATCACCAAGAACAATTAATTTAATTGGAATAGGGTTCTATTCTGACATTATACACAATTTATTTATAATTAATCAAATTGCATGGAAAGTTTAAGTAATTCAAAAATTAGCACTAAATTTAATACAAAGAAAATAATTATTAAAATAATAATAAAGAATAGATACATAAGAAATTCTTGTGTGAATCAATTTCAATTAACTTTTTTTGATATTCCTTTCTTGATTTATTAATCTATTGTAGTTGGAGTTTAGGTATAAGGCAATTAAGATTTTTATAATTAATGAGTTTATGATGGGGATATTTATATCCAGATTTATGATATCACAATGGCAAATATATCAAGTAGTTGAAACACTTTTTTTCATCTAAATTAATATTGATTATGTAAATATTTGATAATACAAATGATATACAAAAAATATCTATGAAATACACTAATGTAATTTGAAATCAGTATTTCATTTGGATTTCTAATTGTAAAAAACAATTTTCTAAGAAAGTCCTATTGGTCACAACAACAATTATTCATTTTTATAGAGAGAATCTTATTTAGTTTATAAAATGGAGGTATATATTGTATTTAATTATATTTTATATAAAAATTAACACAATACTTTATTACTTCTAAACTATAAAATATAGTATTCTAAGAATCTAAAATATATTTATAATTTATGATGTGTTCATATTTTATAATTATTTGAAATGAATTTGAAAGAAAAATCATGGGGATTTTTAAATTATCTACATATTAAATTCTTTATTATCTATTCTGCTATTCAGTAGAATCTAATAATTAAAAATATTCACTTATTTAAAGGTACCTTATGAGTATTTTTGTTGAGATATTAAATTATTGAATATATTTTCAACTGATTAATATCCTATTATTTACTATTTCAAACATCTATTATTTAAGCTCAATGAATTATCAATGCGCAGTCAATATGTTCTTGTTTAAGAGTTATCAAAGTGAAATAGAGGATGGTCTCTGTGATCAATTTGGTCTCTAGAGTAGATTTATGCTATATAGTAATGCTATATAGTAATATTGTTCAAGCTAGAAATTTTGAAATTCTGATACCTAATGAATATGAATTGACTACAAAAAGAATCAAATTTTACGCAAAAAATGTCTTGATTTGCAAACAAAAAAGATACACAAATATGTATATTTATAGATTCTTGATATTGATCCTATTTTTTAATATTAATGCCTGTTAAATTTTATGAGAATTTCTGGCACTATATTAAATTTAGAGTATTGACAACCAGCAAGAAAATAACCTTAATCATAAAACTATCAGATTGAGAAGCCCTTTATGATTAATAAATAAGGGAAACTTGGTTTCTACAAAGAAGTAAAGTAATTTAATTGAGTCTAATTTAAATTTTTATAAATCAATTAATTTTAACAATCTTCAAATTAATTAAATTATAAATATCAATTAATTTTAGAATAGTCCTAATTCTTTAAGAACGGCCTTCAGACTGTCATGCATCTTGCAAAGAGATTGTCCAACACAAAATGATTGCTTTTCCTGTTTTAAATCATCAAATAGAAGATATTTACCTGAATTTGAGTAGTTTGTATAAATTGTTAAATCACAGATCTTGATATTAAATATCCACATCCATTAGAAAAGGAATAAAGTTTTCTTAGGTTATTGAAATATTGAATAATTTTAAAGGAACTTTTAATGATTATTTTAATTGAAAATAATTGATACTTCTCCAGAAAACATTTAAAAGTCTAATGAACCACCACAAACTTATTGTATACAACTTTATTAGTGAAATTTCGAGGAATAAATTATACACTATTTTCAAAATGATTAAACAACAAATACAAAAAACTTAAAATAGGTATTCGAAATTAATATTTAATAATCTTGCAAAAATAAATTTCTAGAAAAAAGGTATTATTTTAAAATAATAATAATTTATTAATAATTGTTGCTCAAAATATAAAATTTTTGTTAAATAAACTATCATTGTAACCCAATTTCAATAAAATCACTTTACTATGTTCCAAAAATATTAAATCTTTTTTATTTTCTTGTATTCCTCTCATTCACATAGGTTTTTATGCAGATTAATACTTATATCAAAAATAATTTAACAAGCAAACTTTTTCTTCAATTTTCCTATTTATTACTCATCATATCATAATCTCCTTTATAAATAATTACATTTTAAATATTGTTGTTAATATCAAATATTTAACATTTTATAAAATTAAAGAGTACAAAAGAATAATTTTCATCTAAATCATCAAAATAAACCTAAAAAATTTAATTGTAATATTTTATTTCCAAAACCTTAATACTCTTTTAAAAAGTCAAGATTATTTTTTTTAATATATTGCCTTTGATAGAAGGTCTCATTATAACTATAAAGGAAAATACCACAGATTAAAAAAGCTATGATGAAAAAATTAAGCAACTAGTACATAAAGTCATCTTAAGTTTTTTAGAATCTCTCTGTCCTTAATCTCTCCCGTATACTTTTTATCGGGTCAAATGAGAATGTTAATATCGTACAAGAAGAGTGAATACCCTGAAGATTAGGAAAATCATTTGATAAATTTATATGTAAATGAATGATCATGGATTTAAAAAAATTTGAGGTAAGCATTAAGTTAGATCCAATTCATTACATTTAAGATAATTTGTATGAATCTTAGAAAACTAGTTTTAATTTGATGTTTGACTTAATAATACTAATAAAAGTATTATTAATAATTTATTATCAATAATTAACTATGTGTGATGTATAAAAATATTTTTTGAAATTTAATACTACATATGAAAAATGCTGAATTTTGAGTAAATTTTTTTGTAAATGAAGGCATCTGAGCCTATTATACCAAAATCTTGTATTTTAAATTACTTGAGACTAAATCTGTCCTATAAAGCTGAAAAAGTTTTAAATAATTTTTATTATTATTTTTATGAACACAATTGATATTTTAGAATATGGACTTAAGGCTCTAGGTATGGCTGTATAAAAATCAAGAATGGATGTAAGGATGGGTGTTTCCATAATGATAAAAATTATATTTTTTGCATTATGGTTTTTATAAAGTGGAGATAGTAAATATATGGGAGGGCACTTTGCCACAACATTGATAACATGGGTTGTTTTCCATGTGTATATTATTTTTATTGAACTATCCTATATCGTTGAAGGTGCAAATATAATAAAGATGAGGAAGTAATCTTACAAAATTATAGATTCTGTATAATCAGGAATTCTAATAATTTATTTCAGTGTTTAAGTTTACCAATATTAAATATAAACAGCTTTTAATATGATCACACTAATTTCATTGTTTATTGATATTGCACTAAATTTTGATTAATTATTAAAATTTATAGAAAAAGAAAAGCTATTTCTTCAAAAATAATAATATAAAAAAAGTCAAATTTTAATTTTAAATTTCAATTATTATTTTAGTTTAAAATTAAAAATAAATATTAATTCTCAATAGACAACTCAGATGATAATGAAGAAGTTATTGTAACAGGTGGAGAGATTACATTTTATATTTCAATAATGATAGGAGGAGGATTAGGTCTGTTTGTTGTAATTATAATGCTTTCTGAGTTATAAAATAAACCTGAACTAGAAGCTTTTCCTTTTTATGTATGGTCTCTTTATCTTTGTATGATTGGTGAAGGAATTTTTATTATTTTTGTTATGTATTTCTTAATCCCTCAGGCTAAAACACCTAGAACAGATCAAATTGACACTACTAAGAGTTTCTGTGGGTGTTCTCCAAGTAAACATTTTCTGTGCCTTATGTATGGAATATGCATAGGACTTTTTAGCTTATATTATGCATTTTTTTTAGGCATTTATGGATTATATAAATTCATATTTAAAGTGCTTGAGTGTATTGGTTGGTTACATAAAAATTCATAATCACAAGTACATCCAGCGAGATGAAAATTGAAAAATATATTTATCTCATTAAAAATTTATTCTAACATATTATTTAGTTTATCATTTTCAATCTTTTTTTTTTTAATTTTAATTAGAAATTATTTTTAAACTATAAAACTCTATCCAAAATTTGTAATGTTGGATTTCTCATTTTATAAGCATGACACATCTCATTAAAATAAGTAAAAGATATCCAAGATTACTCTATTTCATCATATTATTTTCTATTTTCGAATAATAATCAAAAAAATATAATATATATAAAATCTTTTAATTCTCTATTGAACATTAGCAAGCCTATTTTATCCTATTTTTTTTTACAAGGAAGAAGCAGGCTAATGTATAGGATACTTTTGATGAAAAAAATATAAAATGTGAATGTCCTTAGTTGGAATAGAAATTATTAAGACTTATTTAAAATATTTATTAGGATAAATAATACTTATAGAATAGTGAAATAACTTACCCACCACAATATTAATTAAAGTTAATGATTTAGAATAATCAACTATTATGTTCCTTGAACATGTTCATGTATGATTATATTTATAATGGTTCTTTGAGTAAGTTTGTTTATATCTTCATACTAGTTTTCTATTATTTTATTAATCTAATAAGAGAGTAATTACAGGAATATTAAATTTCAATAATTTAGATTAATCAATAATCTCTATATTCTACAGTAACTAAGATAATTCATATATATAAAATAGTTATTGCAATACATTTTAGATAATAAAATACATTCAGTAAGAATTGGAATCAAAGTGAAATTGAATCAATTAAATCTCTATATAATTAATTATCATACTTACTCTCTTCACTAATGAAATCTATATTCAAAATTAAACTTTAAAATAAGTACTAAGATAAGAAGACAAACAAAAACCGAATGAGAAGAGAGCTATTTAATTCCATTTAAGAAGCCAGCGAAAATAAATGAATTTAAAATGAATATATGTGTGTTAATATTGATATATATATATATATAAATTACTTTAAAATAATGTAATACTTCTAATAGTAATATTGAATTATCCCAGATGTATCATAATATTGACTCCATTTATTATTTACAAATAGAGAGTAAATTAATTGAATAAACCTATTTATATTTATGCAAAGATAATATTGAAACATACTAAATTTAACGGTAGAACTTTTTAAACCACTAATAATGAGTTCTGAATAATATGTTACTATATAATACAATTAATTAAGTTTTAATGCCCTTTAAATAATGACATTTTATTATTAAAAAAATATTTTATATCCTTATGTTTAAATTAAAAACTTTGATTTTCTATTGTAGTTCATAAACATTAGATCAATTTATAGCAAATGTATATAGCTTAATTATTTTTGGCAATTATCGGATATATTTCAGAATTAATTTCTCACGGTCGCTCACTATTTTAATTAAATCACTTTGAAGATATAAGAACTTTTCGTTTCTAAATCGTTAAAATTTGATAAATTAATTAATTTATTTTATTAGGACTATTTTTCAAATATTCTGAAATTTTCTAATAAAGGCAAATATTGAATTTTATTTTTATGAGTTTATTTTTATATTTAAGTGCTCCGCTTTTGCACCTGATTATATTAAATTTTCTTAAAAATCTAATCGCTATTTTTTGTTTAATATATTGAAGAATTCATTTAAAGTTAAACAATGTTTCCTAGCTATTCTATATTTTAACATTGATTTTCATAAAGAAGTATAAAAAGGAAATACAAATAAAATAGGATTCATATGATATATTTAATTATTCAAATTTTGATGACAACATCTGTCCCTTATTGCTCTAATCTTTTAATTAGGTCTCTCTATTCATCTCTTGTAAAGCGTTACAAACATTAAGACATATCTATATAAATTTCAGTTGTTTATTCATTAAGAGTTTCTAATTTTTCCCTTAATTGATCTTTATTAAACTCGCAATTTATTAAAATCATTTTTAAATAACAAAAATTTCTAAAATCATATTCTTAAAAATCTAATTTAATATTTTCAAATTAAAGATAAAGAGTTTCCAATTACTTACTTTTTAAATTACTAGAAAATTAAAAAGTTTAAATAGCTGCTTTATTAATAATTGTTGCCTTAAAAAGTTTCAAATAAATGAATTTTGCAAATAGTTATTCACAATTATTTAGAATAACATTACCAGAAACATCAAAATAAAAATACTCAAAATTATATCTATCTAATTTTAAAAATTTGTCATTTATATTTAAATTGATTTCTATTCCTACTTAAGAGGGATTATTTCTATATTATTGTATTATTTAGAAATATGAGTATGAAAAAGCTATTAGAGTTTCTGTTCTTTCAACACAAAATTCCATTTAATGTTCATTTGTAGCTTCTACTTGGAGTTGTAAGAAAAATAATTTTTTTGGAAAATTTTTAAGAATTACATTATTAAGAGGAATATGGATTGGATTTACTTCATCTAAATAATAATTCAATTTTAATTAATAGATTGGGCTTACTTTTAAACACCTTATTAAATCATTTAATTCACTTCCCATACATAACAATCTCTATGCCTAATCAATTTCTAAAATATTTGTTATACAAGCAAACACATACCTAAACTAAGCTAACTTCTTCTATTTTCTTAAGCCAGAATAATTAGAAAAATTTAATGTTTTCAAATTAATTTTAAATACGCATCTTTCTTTTAAATAATATTCATTTACTTTTGACATAATTGAGAAAGATTTAGGATATTCCAATAATATTTGATTTGATATTTTGCTTAAATATTAAATAGATTCTAAGAATTAATTAACTGAAGATGTGCTTAAAATTAAAGCTGGAATAAAAAAGTCTTTAATTGTTATATCTAGTAAATCTAATATTGCATAACAACTTAATTGTATTTGTTAAATGAAAGCAAAAGTCCATATTTCATTCGATTGGTTATATGACAATGATAAAATATATATAAATAACTAAGGAATCCTATTCAAAGTGTCTTATACATTTGCTCTCCACATCAAAGCCATATGAAATGGTTAATTTTTTCTTAATCTCAGGAGAAAGTCTTCATCATTATATTTATTGTAGAACTAAAATGCTGATACTATATTGCCTTAAAATTTTGAGGCATAACTATTGAACTTTGTGTAAGCTTTAATACTAAATTCTCTTCTTTTATATGTTTCTATTAGGTTTTCTTGGCAATCAAAACAACTCCATATGGTTTCCTACATCTTTACAGTATTTAATATTGTATACAACAGAATATAAGAAAATTTTCTAAATTTTGAAAAAGTCTTAAATACACGCTGCTAAAATAATGCAAATGTAAATGGCTAGAATATTACATTAAATATAGTTAAAGCAATTAAGGCAGATTTAAATATATCATATTCTAGAGTCAAATAGATCAGAGACAAAATTTATAACAATGCATTCATAGAATCTTAAGTAATTATCGTAAATGTATCACAACTTTCCTAACATTTCAAAATACATTGATAAAAATCATACAAGAATAACAAAAAAAAATTTTTACAAACAGACTCTGCAAAAATCTCTCTTTTCGTTATATTATCGATATGAGTTCTTGCTTCATTAATGATTCTATGAATATCTTCTTAATGTTCTTATGGTTCGACTTGAATTAGAGTTGAAAATTCTTCAGAAATTTAGATGTAGCCATTATTAAAAAATTAATTATGTTTTAATGCTGACATCCCAGCATTTATTTTTGTATTCTCAATTATTTAAAATTATTGGATTCTCTCCTTTTCAATATCAATATTATCTTCAAACCAAAGATCCTCAAGATTTTCATTGTTCTAAAGTTAAAAATATAAATTTGGAATATTGTTAAAAATACCTTCCAATTATGATAGTTTATCTTCTTCATTATATAAAAGACTTATTTATTCTACTTGAATCAATTTAAAGAAATTAGCTAAATATTATAATGTAACATCATCATATTCATCAATAAAATGAAATTCAAGGTTTTTATATTCTTTATACCTTAATAAGTAACTTATTATTTATATCATGCATCTTTTCTTTTAATAATGACTGAAATTACTTGGATCGATATGAAAATAATAAGAATAACAAAATGACATATTAATTGAATTAGATTTTAATAATTGTTTTGTTTCTTAAATGAACTTTAACTTGATTTTTCTGTCTCTAAATATTAGGTCTGTTTACATTTATCTATCGTTTGTAGTGAATACAATAAATTATAATTCAAAAAAGTAGTAGATTAAATTAGTAGCTAATAATAGAATACAAAACACATTAAATCCATCCCATGATCCTTTTTCTGTATTAAAAAAACCTTAGATAAAGAGTTAAGGTATTGTTTAAATAGACATAGTTATCATCATTGAGAGAAGAGCAACTCTATGGAATATAAAATCCCTAAAGATATTGACAGGTTTTTTTCTATCTTTGAAAAGCCTACTTGGATTTCTTTTTTTATCTTCGAAACTCAATTTTTAGTATTTATTAATTTCACTGAATGAGAACTATCTAATAGATTAATCTCTGTTGTAATAAATAATAAATGGAGCTAATTTAAAATAACTTAAGAATCCCATAAACATATAATATATATAATTAGCAATTTCAGCAAAAAAACTATTTTAAACAACTTTTTTGAAATGATATGTATACATCCAAGCTAAACTATGAATTAAAACACATGAAATTATAGATAAATTATAACAGAACTCATAGTATATAGTATCATCAGTAAAGTTATTATGTAAGCGGTAAATTAATGTAAAGATAAGTTCTAGAACACTTAAAAGATATATAAAAGCTTGAAATATTATTTTAGCATTATGTTTCCAAATACTTGAGCATCTCTTAATTTCAATTAACCGAGTTTCTNTTCTAAAGTTAAAAATATAAATTTGGAATATTGTTAAAAATACCTTCCAATTATGATAGTTTATCTTCTTCATTATATAAAAGACTTATTTATTCTACTTGAATCAATTTAAAGAAATTAGCTAAATATTATAATGTAACATCATCATATTCATCAATAAAATGAAATTCAAGGTTTTTATATTCTTTATACCTTAATAAGTAACTTATTATTTATATCATGCATCTTTTCTTTTAATAATGACTGAAATTACTTGGATCGATATGAAAATAATAAGAATAACAAAATGACATATTAATTGAATTAGATTTTAATAATTGTTTTGTTTCTTAAATGAACTTTAACTTGATTTTTCTGTCTCTAAATATTAGGTCTGTTTACATTTATCTATCGTTTGTAGTGAATACAATAAATTATAATTCAAAAAAGTAGTAGATTAAATTAGTAGCTAATAATAGAATACAAAACACATTAAATCCATCCCATGATCCTTTTTCTGTATTAAAAAAACCTTAGATAAAGAGTTAAGGTATTGTTTAAATAGACATAGTTATCATCATTGAGAGAAGAGCAACTCTATGGAATATAAAATCCCTAAAGATATTGACAGGTTTTTTTCTATCTTTGAAAAGCCTACTTGGATTTCTTTTTTTATCTTCGAAACTCAATTTTTAGTATTTATTAATTTCACTGAATGAGAACTATCTAATAGATTAATCTCTGTTGTAATAAATAATAAATGGAGCTAATTTAAAATAACTTAAGAATCCCATAAACATATAATATATATAATTAGCAATTTCAGCAAAAAAACTATTTTAAACAACTTTTTTGAAATGATATGTATACATCCAAGCTAAACTATGAATTAAAACACATGAAATTATAGATAAATTATAACAGAACTCATAGTATATAGTATCATCAGTAAAGTTATTATGTAAGCGGTAAATTAATGTAAAGATAAGTTCTAGAACACTTAAAAGATATATAAAAGCTTGAAATATTATTTTAGCATTATGTTTCCAAATACTTGAGCATCTCTTAATTTCAATTAACCGAGTTTCTATTAATTCTTAGAAGTCGCTCTTCAAATACATCATTTCATGGGGTGACCAATCTAAATGAGGTTCAGGAAAAAGACCTAAACATCGTCGCCACATTGATTTTCTTCAAAAACAAATAAATAATTTTATTTTATTTAATAATATCATTTCTCTCACAATTTACTAGAAAAATTTAAATCTATTATCTTAAACTTACTAATTTTCAAATTTTAATAAAAGATTTAAACTCTAATGTGCTTATGTACAATATATATACTCTAATAAAGTAAAAATCAAATGAAGTGTGAAGTATTCTAATTAAATTTAAATTAAATGGATAAATAAAAAGAGTTAAAGAAATTTAAAATCACATTAATATTATATCATTTGATAATAATAATAAAAAATGAATACTACTCATATACAATTATATAAATAATTTTATACTGAAAATATACTGCCAAATATTTATTATTTAAGTTTTTATACTCCTTTTCACTCATATAAATTAAATTTAGAAAATGTCAACACAATAAGAATTATCAATATTTAATCAATCTGTTGCGTGTCCTAAAAATTTGCCTTTAGTTAGAACTTTAATTAAAAACTGTTATCCTTATCCAGATTTACTTTAATTTCTGTTCTTAAATATAATTGAAATTCTTATCCTCTACAATACAATTTAGTATAGATTAATTGAAAAATCTATATCTCTAGATGATCCTTTTACGATTAATAATAAAATTATTATATCAAAAGAGCCTATTATTTCGCTTTCATTTAGTTCAGACTTATATTTAATGCTCAAATATATCTGAACGATTGGATATAACAAATTAGTTTGCTGTGTTGTATGATAAATAACATATTGAATTGTTTGGTTTTTTAGATAATACTGTTATGAACTAGTTAATGAATTAACCTTCTATTACTCTTTTGAATCATCATAAATTTATACTTTATAACATTAGTTAAATGATTTCTATTTCAATTGTAAATATGTGAGATTAATTCATACCTTATAATGTTTTTCAATAAGATTTTTAGAGTCTTGTTATTTAATAGTAATTGAACAGCACATTTTTTATCCAAATTCTATAAATTGAAATGAAATGATGGTCCTGCCAATAGTATTTTTGTAATTTGATGTGTTATAAATTGAATAATACAAAATACACTATCATAATGCAGTAAATAAAGTATATTTTTTTTCAGAAAACATTTTTTTACTACTTTTCTTTATCCTATCTTCAAATTGAAAATGATTAATTTTATTTTTCCTTAGAGTTTGCACAGTTATTATCTGCTTTGTTTTGAGAATGAAGTAATTGATCAGACAGCTATATAAATTGAACTGATAACTACTATTTTATAAGATAGATCATCCTTAATGTTAATTTCTGGTTTCTAGGAATCTCTAGTAACTTTTTTTTAATTTCTTTAGGGTTTTTCTAAAATTGAAGAATAGATTATGATTATTATATCTTTGTTATTACCACTAACCTTGCCGATTTATGTATTTTTCTTCAAATTCAAATGTAGACATTATTACTTGAATTTTTTACATTTCGAATATCAAAGTAAGTTTAATATGTATAATTTGAAACATTTCTATTCATTAAATTAAATGTGGCTATATTTATGAAAATTATAGATACACTATGAATTATATTGTTAAAGACTACTTTAATTCTGGGATTGTTACAAACTAGACATAATAATGAATCATCTTATTTTTTAGAATCTACTTTTTTAGTATAATAATTTAATCAATAATCCTATTATTCTTAAAGATATATTGTTTCATTCTAATTTAGTACTTTTCATTACTTATATTATTTTATTTACTTTAAGAATTAAATTAACATTCAATAATCTAAATTCTTGTTGACATTTTTAATTAATAATTTTGAATCATTTAGCCGCTAATATCTCTAATTATTCGGTAAAATTAAAGAGAGATTTAATTAAATTGCTGTTGATAAATAACATATTCATTTGATAAAACTAATAATTCAAATTAATTTAAAAAATTTAATTAAAGAGGAGTTCTCATAATTTTTTAAACAAAATTGAATAAAAATTTAAAGAGCCCAAGAAAATTAAATTAAAAAAAAGATTAGATATTTCTTGGTTAAAAAAAATGAGTTTCCTAATTGCCATTAAATCTTCTTAAACATTCAATATATAATTATATTTTAATTTTCCAAATAAACTTTGATATTATGATTATGTTTAAACAGAATCTGATAAATAGAAGTTATATATTAGAATTAAAATTCAAGAAAGATAAAATATGCAATAAAATTGAGATCTTGGATAAAATTACTTATACAAATATCTGAAATTACAACATAATATTAAATCTTAACAAGTTAGAATAAGCTTATTTACTTCTACTAGATATAAATATAATGTTTTACACTTTTTTTAATATTTTACTTAACTTAAAAATCTTAATTAATTATATTTAAGCTTTTAGGAATAATATTTCATTTGAAAAATAAAAAAGAAAGAGAATTATAAATCCCTTTTTTTTTCATGGAGTAAAATTCTATATGGTCTCACATCTTTTGACTCATTAACAACAAAATAATTCTTTAACTTCATTTTCTAACTTTATCTAATTTTTTTTGGATTTACTCTTATCATAAATATTACCGCAAACTATTTATCCAGAACTTAAGTGTAACTTGCATATCTATCTCTAGTGCAAACATTAAAATCATTTGAAAAATAAATTCCATTTCCTACTTTTATCATGTTTCCAAATTCATCTTAACAATCGTTATTAGCATATAAATTATTCACACCAACCATTAAATTATTTTTAACAATAGAATTGACAAATTTTTGCCTTGTACCATGATACATGATTCTCCATTCATTAGGGTTGCCATCCATTTATATCCAATCTTAATTTTCTCCATGTTTTTTAATATCTAATCCAAATCCATAACAACCTCTTGGAAAATAATAATCATATCTGTGATCAGGAGGTCCTCTTTATTCTTTTTCTTTAAAATTACTCCACTTCATATTGTATTTAGGATTAAATTCATCAGAAGTAAGAATTATTCCAGAACTTTTTGCTAATTATTCTTCAGCAACTCTTGCTTAATCAAAGTATGCTAAATATTCTATTTTCCCATTACAATATTTATGTAAATATACCTATGCAGCTGGAATATTTTATATTAATTATTAAATTTCATCATAAGTTTTTCCTTTAATTAAAAAATTAATTTCAAAACTTCCCTTTGATACTCCTAAAATTTCAATTTAATCGATTGGAATTTATAGTGAGCTTGATAATTTTTAAGTAAAATCTACCAAATGAAATTCTAATAACTTTTTGTCTTCCATAATTTTATCATAATCAAGTTATTCATTTCTAATCTTAAAGCAAGACTAATCTTAAGAAAAAATTCGTATAACTTAATCCAATCCAAATGATTTTATTTTATTTGATTTCAAAACCTCTATATTTAAATCTCTTAATAGTTATTCTTTTAAAACATAGAGCATCAATTCAGGATTTGAAGCTTCAATATTTTAATTTATATGAGGAATTGATTTTGGTTCAACAACCAATTATAATTTTCTAAATAGTTATTACTAATATAAATGTTTTTAGTATTATTTTTAATCCTTAGTAAGATTACTATTCTAATCTATTTTATCAAGTTAATTTCCTAACAAACTTATTTATTCTTTAAATAAAGTTTTAGCAAGAATATTTTATAATTCCCAATTTTATGTTATGATAGGTTCTAAGCGCTACTCTATTTTAGATGGGTTTTATTATTATTTCATTTTATAAAATTAATAATAAAATATTCAATTATTGATTTTCAAAGCCATTATAATAGAATTTCAATTATTTTTAATTAAAATGTTCTGATTAAATACTAGTATTATTTACAGAATATTTATGAAAAATTCTAAACACTTTAAAATGATAATTAATTGATTCTTGATATAAACACTATCTCGATTCTTTGTTAATTGCTAAAAAGCTTTAAGTCTAAGAATTTGAATCAGATTAACTTTAAATTTTAACCCTTTCAACTTTGAAAATTATATATAACCCAAAATTTATAAGTATTTGTTATATCAGCTGAACTAAAAATTTCTGAGAAGATGATGTTTGGCAGTTATCAATTTAATTTACAATAATTTTTAATAATTAATATCAATTTGAGATGTTATCAATGATATAGTGTAAATCAATACGTCGGATTTTATTTATGAATAGAAGTAATATTAGCGAAAAAAGGATCGCGGATGTCTTTTCTTTTTCAATGACCCTGAGCCGATCCTGAATATGATTTTTAAGCGATTTTTTTAAGTACAAACAGTGTTTTTCATAGATCTTTTCATAGATTTCGCATTAAAAAAAATAATTGTTCGAGAGGATGCATATTAAAAGGTTTTAAATTTCTATTTTTATAATGTATCAATTTTTTGAACCCATCACTTACATTAATATTTAGATACTTGATTTGTTTTTGTTGAATGAAAAAAAAAGGAATTAGTTAAAAGTTCATTGCAATTAGAATTATACAAAATATAAATTTTTAATCTGCTAAAATGTTTTATCAACCTTAAATTTGGTCTTTGATTATGTTTAATCATCTAAACCATATCTAATTGATAGACTTGTTGAGTTCAATTTGCTTTTTTATATAATGAAAAATGTATTTAAAGTTAAACATAGTTTACTAGTTTTTCTATTTTTTATAGTAGTATAAAAAGAAAATACATATAAAATTGTATTCATAAGATATATTTAAATATTCAAATTTTAATGAAAATATCTGTTCCTTTCAATTCTAATTTTCTAATAAGGTCTCTCTATTCTTCTCTTGTAAAGCTTTACAAACATAAAGACATTTATATATAAATTTCCCTTTTATATTAATTTAGATTTTCTAATTTTTCCCTTAATTGATTTTTTATTATATTCACAATTCCTTATTATAATTTTAATTTTCAAATATAATATCAAGAGTTTCTAATAACTTTCTTCTTAAATTATTAGAAAATTAAAAAATCTATATAAATGCTTTATTAATAATATTTGCCTTGTAAAATTTCAAATAACTAAATCTTGCAAAAAATTATTAACAATTATTAAGAATAAAATTACCAGAAATTTCAAAATAAAAATATTATTGAAATGAAGAGGGTATTTAGATAGAAAGAACTATGATTCATACACTTTCATACAAAAATTTCCTCTCATTCAATTAATATTGATTATCATTATCATATATAGTATAAAATTTCAACATTTAATTTTCTAAAAAATTATGTTTGCTGCATATTCTGTTACCAAAACCTCAATTACTATTTAAATTTTATCACTATTTCCCATAAAAATAATAAAATTTTAGTTTCGATTTGCAACTATATTTTTATATTTTGAAATGAATCAAGCTAATATTGAATGATATGCCTAAGAAAAGCAAATATCCAAGAATGGTGAACTTATTATTTAATAAAATAAGGTAAATTTAAATTTAAAAGAATTATTTACATACTGATACATAGAAATACAGTCACATTAAAAAGATTCATGATAAATTAGTTATAAATAGCAGACATTTGAATTAAGTATTTAAAATGTAAGAAGAAGATCTGACAGCACATTACTATATATATCAACATTTCTTTAGGAAAGAGGCTAAATTTATAAAGAAATTAGTAATGCTTTAGGATGAAATTGAAAAGATGAAAATTTTAAGGAATATTTTTGTTATGGTTATATTTATAATGATTTTTTAAGTAAGTTAATTAGGTTGCACTCAATAATTATTGAATTAGAAAGAAGGAATAAAACTTAGTAAGAATTTTTTTCAAGATGAATATAAACAGTATTCTCTCTATTCTACAGTAACTAAGTTAATTCCTAAATATTGCAATACATATTAGATAATAAAATACATTCAATAAGAATTAATATAGAAGGGAAATTGTTTAACTGAAATCGCTAAATAATTAATTATCATACTTATTCTCATTTTTAATAGATTATTATTAGAAACTGTATATTATTCCAAAATAAAAGATTTTGGTAAATTCAATTTATCATAAATAATAATAATAACATCAAGGTGGCATTTAAATTGAGTAAAAATTAAGATGTTATGATACTTATATTTATATATTATAAGTAAAAATATATTAAATCAAAGTTTCTTTATGATTTATCTTTTCAAATTAACTAAATTTTGTATTAACATGATTCTGGATATTTCATTTCTTTTATAATTTTATAATTTAACAATTATAAATTCTCCCAATTAATCAATGAATTATAATATTTAATTATTATGAGATTTAATTTATTTCAATAGAATTAATTGTTCCATTTCTTATTCGATATCATTGTCTAAATCAAATTTGTTTATCAATACTTTGATTACTTCATTATTAATTTAATTTAGATTGAATGTCAATTGAATCCTTTCATTTTCGAATTAACTTTTAATAAAAGCATAAACTAAATTAGAATATGGATTACTTTATTAATTTCCAATTGCTTAATAAAATTAAAAAGTATTGCGAATAAATTATAGAATTTCTTCTTCTATTTCTTCTGGATTTGATGATAGTAATTTACATAGATGTTATAATTTGTTATATTGTAAAGAATCTTCTCTTCTAAAAGTAGTTAAGAGACTAGCATTTCGAAATTTATCAATTTAACTTTACAAAGATTCAATTTTGGACATGTATTATTTCTTAATATTTTAAAGATAATAATATACTTCTTAATGGGATGTATTCAAATGCTATAACAATTCATTTTCTTTAAGTTAATTAGTTAATGTAATTAATAATTGTTATTGACTAGTTAATTATTCCTCTTAATTTGCTATTATATCAGTACTTTCTAAATAAATGAATCAGATTTACATTACAATAGCTATTTGTAATGGAGGATGACTTTGCTATTAATTTCATCTTATTGTAGATATTGAGTCCTATCCTTTTTGAATTGAATGATAGATGAATATATGTGCAAAATGAGTGATTCATCATTATCATGATTAACTTCGAATATCTCATTGAGTTATTTGCGAAAGGATTGTTATTATGATTACAATTAATTAATAAGTTCATCCTTCTATTTAATTTGATCATTGAGTTTTTTCGAATCATCATCTCTTAACTGAATAGATTGTCCTTCTGATTTAATTTGATTAGAGTGATAACTAATGGATCTAGTCTTTTGTTTGTTCTATCTCTTGATATTATTCATAATAGAATGAAGAGATACAACCTTGTTGGTTGGTTTGAATGGTTAGTTAAGCATTAAATTAATAAATTATTAATTCACTAATTATTCAATTCATAAATTTCAGATTACCAATTTTCTATATATTCCTAAAGAGTTTCAATAAAATCTTAGCTAATATCATTTCTAGATATAAATAGATGGAAAGTCTCAACAATTTGATACTAAACCATTTTATTTAGAATCAATAATTTGAATTGAATGGATAATAGATCAAATGCTTCAAATAAATTCATAATTAACCAAGTTTAAAAACAACCCTATAATAATCTAAAGTATTAATTATAAATGTTTACATTTCTTTAATTTACTTAAATATATTGTATTCCTCTAATATTTAAATGACATTTTTATCATTCAATTTTTAAAATATAATTAGATTTTTAAGTAAAATCAAATATTCATTCACAATTTCTTCTTAATAATAAGTTGTCCCTTCAAAGTAGAGATCAAGGAAGGGTAAGAAATGACTTATTACAACATTAGCCAAATGTTGATATTAATAGATTAAAATGTTATTCAAACATTTGTATATCTTGATTATTAATTGTTCATCTGGTTAATTTTATAACCAAGATAACATATTATTCAATATACCATTTTCTAATAATTGTTTTTCTACATTCAAATTAGAAATTGGAGAATCTTCATCATATTATTTAGAAGTTAAATTTATGAATGTAGAATACATCACTAATGGATATTTATTAATTAATAAAATCTTCACCCAAACAGGTTTTGTTAAAATTATTGTAGTCTCTAATTAATGTTTAGAACAGTAATTAATTAATATCAATGCTGCCTCATATAATTAGGTTTATTCTGATAGTTCTGTTATCACATAATCACATTATTGAAGGATTCTCTATAACTAAATTAATATAACTTTTTTATTTCATACACTTAATGATACTATTTCAGTATCAGGAATGGATGGGTTAAAAAATATCATTTATTATAAAAATAACATTGAACTCCAAAGAATTTATGGTGGAAACTCTCTATAGACATAATGCCATATATTTAAGAAGGATGATTTCATTATTTCAATTTTGATTTAGACTCCTCTTTCATCTTTCAAATCTAGTAACAAATTAATTAAAAGTTAAGAGAGCTGCAAGTAAGTAATATTATTACACTTTCAATTATCAATTACCATTCATCATAATTCTATGCTAGTTTTTGTTTACTATTCATACGACCCAATACATCATTAAAAATTATGTCCAAAAAATTATGGTTCAATAAATTATTAATAATTTATGGTGTATTCCCATATGTAAGATTGATTAATATAATAATGACTAGATTTAAACACTTCACTCTTATCTCTTCTATATTACTATCCAATTAAACATCAGACATTCGTAATATTTGCATGAATAATTGAGTGGCATCTTAATTTATGCTAAAATGATTTATATATTGATTCATCATAACCTCATCTCCCTATTATTATTTTACAATAATTAGTAGTAATTGTTCATTGTACTTAAAAAGTAAACTTTTAAGAGATTAAAAGTCTTTAACCATAAAACTTTTATAAATTTAAACAATCAATTCATCTGGTAAACACTTTAATTCTCCATCTAAATCACTATTCAAATTTGTGTGTCTCTTTCTTGAAAAGATCTCTTCTCTAGCCTATTTTCGAATCTATATAAAAAATTGTTCTCTCTTCAAATATAATTATGATGAATTAATCATTAAAATATAAATGAATATTTATAATAATAATTAGACTCATTTAGAAATTTGATTCATTTATAATTATATATATATATATATATATCATATTAATTTAGTAACAATGTAATTTTCAAATTTGTATTATTTTGAAGTATATTAGGATAAATGAATATCTACAAATTGAAATAAGCTAAATGAATTAGCTTATACTGAAAAAGTAAACAACCTTATAGGTATTGATCTATCATAAGAATACTTACGCATATTATATTATGAAAATGTCTCATTTGATTGTAAAAATTGAAATGAATTACAAACCTGTGAATAAATTGATTTTAATTGAAAATTTAATAGAATTATTTTTATTTCTTTGCATAAAATAAGAATATTATTATTTACTAATAATAATATCATTCTAAATCTAGAAAGTAATTAAAAAATATAATATTATTTTATAATAATATTTGTAAATTCCTTTAAAAATTCACTAAAAACCTCGATAATTTAAATATTATTATATAATTAATTATGGGATCAACTATATCTAAAAATAAAGTAGTTTTATTAACTTCAATAGGAGTGGCAGGTTTTTGGTAAATGTTTATTGAATATTTGGTAGTGCCTATTATATGCAAAAAAGGTCTAAAGAGTAATATAAAGTAGAAAAATTATTTTGGAAACATGATTAAGATCAATATTTAGATACAAATGATCGATCTATAGATTAGAAATTAGAAACTAACAATGATATCGAAATTAGATATAGTGATGATAATTGTTTAGAGGCTAATTGTATTGTTGAGATATATGCCAAATAATTAGATATTGCAGGAGAAGATTTTGTTAAATTGAGTAAGTTGAATCGGATTCAGAGAAGAAGATTGAGGAAATAAAATTAATAATCATATGTTGACAGTATTGTCTAATTTATCATGGATGTTGAAGATATCTTAGATTAAGCATTAAAATAACTACTATATGAATTAGATGTACCAAAAGAGATATTTGAAGAGAGTGTACTTGTGAGAATGGATCAAGGATATTTTTAACAATTATATATGTTGTAAGCTAGTGTAAAGTAAAAGATCAAAGAAAAAATTGAATCAACTAAGAAATTGAATTTAAGATAAATGAAGGACATTATTCAATTTAGTGTACACATTCTAAAGAACTTCCCTTAAGAATATCATGTTATTCTACATCGAATTGTATACTAAAAGATTATAGATATAGCCTTCAGAAAATGTGATGTTGGTGCCAACTCTTATCAACATAATAGTATAAGATATGATTTATGCTAAATTTGGAGTTGAAGAAGAGGATCAAATTGCAAGTCTAAAGAATATATAAGGTGATTAAGAAATTCATAATCTTCTAAATAGAGTTGAAATAGAAATGAGTGGACTTCTAAAAGAATAAGGAATTAGATTGAATGATATCCCTGAGAGTCTAGAAAATTTTGTTTGATTAATAAATTTTCATAATTTAGGTTATTATAAAGCTGATTGAACAAATTTCTAAATTTACTTAAGTTATTCGAATTAAAAAATTGGAACTCTATGAGCTATTATTAAAATAATTCTTACTTGCATCAGTATAGATGATTAATGGATTCAAAAACTCACTTGATTATATTAATGATTCCATTTACAAAGGATCTCTTGTTCCAACTGTTTGAATTGTTGGAATAGTGATTAACCTTTTTTAGGAAAAAATTTCTTTCTTAGCTTTTATACCATGACAAGAGAAAGCCATAAAAAATTTAAGTCTCTTTCTTAACTCTATATCAGTATGTGCTAATTATCCTAATTCTGTCACTAACAATGTTCCATGTGAAAATCCTACAACTCCCACAATTGTTGGATCATTAATTATTTTAGCTCTTAAATTGGTTACATCTTATGAATGATCAAGATGGATATCTCCCCATCTATAAAGTTTTTCTTATAAAATTATTAGTATCTTACTTCCTACTCCTTATGGAACTGAAATGTTAGATGGTAATTGAGTAATACTCTTATTAACATCATAAGATGGATCCAAGTATTCAAATGTTATTATTGAAGACAAAGATTTTTCTAATTAAGTCATTAAACTCTTCATTATATCAGCATCATTCAACCATCCAGGTAATGCTAAACATTTATATTACTACATATTAATCTATTTAATTGCGTATTATTTTAAATTTGTATTTTGATTTATAATACCAATAAAATTATATTTAGAATTATTCTTTTATTCTTTTTAATAAAGGGATTAAGAATTCCCTTATATTTATTAAATAAATACAATAAAAATAGCAAAATGTAAAAATTATATAAATATAATCAAATTAACATTGAGTTCATTTTAGTTTTCCAAATTTACATTCCTTAAATTTATTCTTTAGGATATTCTGCAGCAGAAACCATTTTTGGTTTCAATATTTTCAAAAATACCTTATTATGTTTAGTTGGATGCATAATATTATCTTAATACTCTAGATTGTATACTCTTATAGTATCACTATGTTTTAATTTATTTGCATCATCTAAATCTATAGAAACTTCTTTATGATGTTTTTGGAAATTCTCAGTATTCTTTTTAACAAGTAATGGTTTTGAACTTTAAACTTATCTTCTTTAATTAATTTCTTCCTTTATATTCTTCCTAACAAACTCTTTTCCAGTCAGAGTTATAGCAGAATTAGGTCTCATTCTTTTAATTTTATTAATAATCTCATTAGATTCATCTATCATAGAAGATTAAGGTCTTCCCTTCATGCGAGACAATTATTCTTCAAATTCTTATAATGTGAGAACCTTAGCTAATGGAGATTACTTATCATCCATTTTCATGCTGTCATTATATTTATCTGAATATTCTACTTTATCAATTTTACTAAGTATCATACTAGATTTATTCTTGCCTATTTAAGATTATTATGGAGATCTCATTAATTTAATAGGTTCTTATACTGTTGCTGATTTGGAAGCCAAAAATTATAAAACCTATTTTGTAGTAGCTCTTCTTTTCTAATTCTTAATGAAAATAACTTTCAATAAAGAACTTACTAAAGGGAACTCTTAAAAATCACTTGGTGGTGGTTCTCTATATATAATATTATATGCAATCGATCTTTCATTCACTCCTGAAAAAGGCAACTCCAATTTCATTAAGTAATATGCAATGCATCCTGCACTCCAAATACCAGAAGACTCAATCTCTTTCCTTAATACTTCAGGTGATGCAAATGAAAGCTATGCATTCACTATATTTAAAACATCTATCTTATAATAAATATTATAATTATACTTTCACCTATAATTATTCATCCAGAAAAACATTATTCAATGATACTGTTATAGGTATTTATTGTTATTCTAAATAAAACATAGCCGATATGATCTGGTATAATATTGTTAGAATTGTATTTTCAGAAAACTTATTATTTTGCATAATCTAATTTTATGAGTATTATTGATTACTTCTTATAAATCATTGATAGTATCGCATTTTTAAACAGAACAAATTTATCCTCTTTCCTCCCAATACTCTTCTACAAGTAATAAATTTGGATGATTTAAATGGTAAAGTAAACGATTAAACTCGCTAGGAGGTTGTATTGTTAATATGTAGGTATCCTTTGTCTACTTATGATAACAAAAAGTCTTATTGTTAGATATTTTATGAGTTTTTTCTAATTAACATAATTACATAATTTATTTTATAATACAAATAAATTCATATCAAAGTTTTCAGTTATTCAATACAATTCAAACTTAAAACGAAAGTATTTTCATATAAATGATTTAAAAATAATAGATTAATTTATTTAAATATTAATTTAATTATCTATTTATTGTCAACCTTTCATAATGCTTTTAACTTGTAAATTTTTAATTTATATTATATTACAAATATTAACAAATAAAGTGTCAAGCATTTATAATTCATGATAAATGTGATGGAGGTTTCCAAATAGGAGGATATAGAAACTACTTTATCTCACTTACAATCTATATAGAAATTTATTTCTTACTTCATGATTCCACAATTTAGTATATTTAGCTGGACTTAATTTTAATTTATTCATTTTGATTGACCAAATATTCTACTCCTTCTTTGATAATAGTACTTATTTATTTCTCCTACCTCTACATTAAACAGATCTATTTGGTTTCTTCTATTTCTACTCTCTATTTGATTTATTTGATTGATCAGTCCCTCTAGTATTAGGAGAATTAGACAAAGAATCAAATTTAAATTTATTATTCCCATTATTTTGATAATCTACACTACTACTGTATTGAGTGGGTATTTTCTTATTGAGAACCAATTTTGGAAGAAACTTCTTTTTACTTTCTGTTTGAATTGCAACACTGGAACTATTCTATCTTTATGAAGCATCTAAAGACTAAAATTAAAGTCCTTAATCAAGAAGACTAAGCAAATCAAATTATCTTTATAAAATGGGTAATTTTTAATGGAATTACACCTCATTATGACTAGTTTGATGAGAAGTATTTTAAATATTACCATGATTAGTATCTGTTTTAGAAGCTAGAATTTCAGCTTAAAATTAATTCCCTATTTCATCTTAGTCTGGTTCATCAGCCAATTATGATCTAACCTCTTCATCTTCATGTATCTCTTTTATATTATGTTATTATGGAAATTAATTCAAAGAAACTCTCACTTTGTCAATAGTTTATAACTAATTGCCTCTCCAATTACCCTTCAATACTAATGTGTCATATTCATATATTCCTTCTCCCTCCATTAATCCATCCACCCAATAACCCTTGTAAGTAGCCTTGTCTTACCATGTAATCTCACCATATCCACATCTCTTGTCATCTATAAAATGACCTTCATATTTAGTTCCATTAGCATATTCAAATACTCCTTATCCACTTTTTTTATCGTTTGCATATTAACCTTTATATATGTTTACACCTTCTTGAGTTTTACTCTCCCACATTCCATAACCATTCCTTTAACCATTGACAAATTCTCCTTTATAGAAATTACCATTATTCCAATAAAATTCCCCAGAACCATTAGGTTTCCCATTTCTATATTCTCCTACAAAGTAATCTCCATTTTCAAAATACTCTTAACCATTACCATGTTTGAGATCATTGGTAACATAACCAGCATATCTAAAATTATTAGTCAGTTATACATGTCTCCATTAATATAGATGCAAAGTCCAAAACATCTTCCATTTTCCCATTGCCCTAGATAATAGTCGGAATGAGTCCCTTGATACCATCCAATTCCATGCTTTGATAATAGAGATTGTATAATACTTTCTTCCCTTAATGCCATTAACCAATATACTTCTAGTTTTTTGACCAGAACACTCCTTCTCCATGTGGTAACCCATTAAGGTAAGTGCCATAGTAAAATTGATTTTATTTCAGCAATTCAAATCCTATTCCATCCTTCTTGTCTCTGAGAAAAGAACCTTCATACAGTTGTAATGTTGATTTTATTAAAATGCCTTGACCTTGTCTCAAACCATCAACTAAGGTTCCATAGAATGCTGCATTTTTGTATAGCTTAATCTTAACATCTTAAATGTGAGTAAAATCTAAAATGATTGGGTTGTAATTCTAAAAGAATTCAATTACATTTTCCTGAGTAGGAAATTGAACAGCATTGATTTAATCAGGGATTGGAAACTTCGTTTTAATTTGTTAGACTAAGACATGGAATTATTATAGTGTAATATTTTCATACACTCCTTGTAGAGTCTTGTAAGATTATTCTTATAAGTTAGGGAATAATTGCTATATATTTTATTATTTTATCATTAATAAAACTAATCTAATTAGAAGTTGTTTTATAAAATGATAATTAGACTAGAAACATACAATCATATTGTAATTATTTGAAAATCTAAACAAAAATCAATGTTAGAAACACTTATTGAAGATAGAACTAAATTTTTATTAATCAAAAAGGATTTGAATAATTATTATTATGAATAGTATATTGATTTCCTACTCCTATATTTTGAATTCATATATTATTTATCCATTTATGTATTACTATTCATGATTTCTATTTTATTAATAATTTGTAGTAAGTTATTTCAATTTCACACTAAGTTTTACTAGTTCTTATTCTATTAGAAAATAAATAAAAAACATTATTGATGAGATTAGATTATTCACCAAAAGATTTACTAAGAATATGGATGTTACTATATAAATAATAAAAATATATAATTTATTGTTATTAATCAATTAAATGTTTTTATACATTTATGACATATAAAAAACATTAAATGCTCAGACCTGGCAAGCTAAGATCATATTTTTTATCATTAACTAATTTTTAATCATTGCATATATTTTAAAGAATTCAGTGTATATAATTTTATAAAAAACTTTAATTTTTAAATTAATATTATGGTTATTCATCAATAACAAATAATAAAAGTCGACTCTTAATATTATTTGATATTATTATTAAATCTATAATTTAGATTCTATATTAAATTATTATTATATATATATATATTTTTTTATGAACTAAGCTTCTTCAAATATTAGCCAAAAGTAAGATGTCAATGATCATAAGTTTATATGTCTTATACATAATAAACCTGCAATTTTCTGTCTTAATTAGTTTTGCCATGAATCAAGATTGCTGTGTCTTAAATGTTTACAAGAAGGAAAACATAATCACTAATAGAATATTCATTATTTTTCTGAAATGTTAGAGTTTCTTGAAAAAAGAAAACCGTAAGTATTATCTGTAATAGAATAACTTAATGAAATAGCAAGCCTTATTATGATTTTACAAAAAGAATTTAAAAGTAAGTATGAAATTTCAGAAGAAGATGTATTACAAATGAATAATAATTAATTGAATTCTTATCTTGAACATATGATAAAAAATGAATAAGAAGTTAATCTACTTTTAAAGTCTCTTAAATGTTCATTTAATTCATTTAGTGAAACTATTTAATAGAGTAGTGAAACTCTTGGATTAGATTAAACTGCGTATTCATGGTCAAATTTGAGATAGAATTAGAAAGATAAAAATATTATTATTTATGAAAGCATTGAAAAACCAGATTAGACTATGTTAAATAATAATGATATCAAATAACCTCTCATCTTAATCTTGAGTATAGAAGATTAAGAATAATAATTCCTAATGAAATTATTGTTTTAGAAAATCTAAAGTTAATTAAATTACCCATTATAAATTGCACATAATGAAGTATACTTTAACTTTGCTTTTACAACTTAATTCCCTGATTTTTATGATTAGATTGAAAGAGATAAATATATTACTTAATTATAAAAAATATTTTGTGATTTTCAAAATTAAATCTCATCAATATTATTACCAATTAATATGGAAAACATCAATATAATGAGTAAGAAATTATTAAGTATGATAAAGTGGATCCGTAAATTTAAGGAGATAATTATTTTGGTCATAATAATATAAGGAATTATTGATGAGAACTTAATAAATAACATAAAATAGGCTATGGTTAAACTTTAATTAAAAGATATATTATTTTTGAACGAAAATTCATAATCAAATTAATTATTTGAAATTCTAACTAAACATTCCTTCCATATAATTGAAAATGGTTATAAATTGGATTTTTAAGATACAATCTTTTAATAGACAATATTAAATGATAAACAATGATAAGTTAACATTGAAAAAAATAAAATAAATTATCAATATTATCAATTATAAGTTCTACTTATCGATTTTATAGAGATTAATCATATAATTAATCTACTTTCTTATTAAATTAATATATTAATATATTAAACAATTAAATATCATTATATTACACTCAATATAATCATGCTTTGGCTTATGAAATTGTACAAAATTCTTCCATATCATCTGATGTTTGGAATTTAATTTTACTTTTTTATCTGTCATTTGCAATCTATATTTAAATATTAAAAATACATTTAAAAACAATAAATGTCTTGAGGGCATTATATCTAATACTAATTCATTAACCTTCTGTATAACCATATCATTAATTGGATAATGAAGAACTGGATTATCAACAGCTAAATTCTAAATTATATATACCTTCTATTGTTTCATCATGTTTTAACCAACAGCCAACATATCTATCTATTGTTAATACTAGAATGGCTTATAATTCATTTTTCTTATCAATAATATGTACTCTAAATTCCTTGATCAATAACAATCTTGCTGCTTAACAACCCATTTCTTTTATTACTAATGTTTGAAGGAATTCTTCCTAATGTCCATCTTCAAATTATGAAATCTCTTTTGGTAATAATTTCTTTAAATTGTAATAGTCTTCAATATCAATTTTCAATTCTGGTAATTCTACTTATATGTTATGAACTTCTGTTATGCCCTTTTTATATATTAAACATGAATCTTTAGCCCATTATGCTCGTTTTTATTCAATAGCAATGACCTAATTATAATATAATCAATGTTACTTATTTCCAATATTATATTACTTTTTCAGCTAATTAATTCAGCAATTTATTAGCATATTATTAAGTGGCAACAAAACTAATGATAAGTCTATACACATCCACTTATTAATTATTTTATTTTCTTCCATCATCTTCATTTTTTATTTATTACTAGATATTTGGTTATCCTTGAGATTAGTAATTTTTTGATTTAAGCTTATTTTAATCAAATTATTATCGTTCTTTTTATTATTATTATTATTTGTAATATTCTGCACTGCTTAATTGTTCTACTAAATTTTATGGCTATTTATCTTATTAATTCTATTAAAGATTTTACTCCTAATTTTCTTTTAATTAATCAGGTTTATCAATTTATTCTTACTATTCTTATTCATTTTATATTTATTTATTTAATTATTCAACTTCTTTATTTGTTTATACTTATTATTCTTATTATTCTTATTATACTTATTTTACTTATTATGCTTATATTACTTATTATTATTATTCTTATTATTCTTATTTTTCTTATTATAATTCATTTCCATTACCTAAACTTTACTCTTCTTTTAATTATTATTCCCTAATTTATCTTTCTTATTCTTTCATCTATTAATTAAGCTCCATTTCAACTGGATCTTATAGAGATGATGATCCTACTAATAAAGTTCCTATTGCTGATATATTTTATAATATTTTATCAGTTTTACTTTATTATTATTATTAATATTAATATTATTATTATTATTATTATTATTATTATTATTATTATTATTATTATTATTATTATTATTATTATTATTAATCATCAAATATTGGTTTTCTCTATCTTTAAGGTACTTAATGCTATGGAAATTATTAGATTATTAAATTTAATTTCTAACCTGCTGATGTAATGTAATTTTATAGTAACTTTTTCTATGTAATTATTGAACTCAAGAGCAAATCCAATTATCTATCCATATCACTCAATTCACTAAAAGATTAGGCTTTAAGTATTTCAGTTTAAATTGCATGTGCAAAATTTGCAATTTTTTCTAATCTTTTCAAATTATACTCTTCAAATGTTGATATTGAAGTTCCTACTGTAGAATACAATTATTAATTTAATGGATTTTATTTCAATGCATGTTAAGGTTTAGTAATAAGAAATTGAGCATATTGTTGTTCATGAAAATATTTTTCATTGAAAAATTTGTAAATAATTTGAAGGAAATCAACTGATAATCGTATTTTGTAATCACAAGAATTAGCTAATTCTTCTACAATTTCTCTATTTCTTTCAAATAATTCCATTCTATTCTAAGCCCATTCTTTTAATAACTTTAAGCTTTCCTCCTTTCTTTATTTCGAATTACTAAAAAAAAGTTCATTCTATTCTTAAGTTTCATCTAATTCTGAATATTATTTAGGAAAAGATGGAAATTTTAACATACTTTTGTAGTACTTTATAGTTGTTAATATTGAATTTGATTCTTCTGACATTTCAAAAAGTAGTAAATTAAATATTAATTTTTTAGTATTTAAAATTATTAAGAAATGTAATATAATCAATAATCACATCTTAATATCTATCTTTTATTTGCAAATCCTATTATATATTAATTTATTTATATATCTTGATCTAATTATTTGGTATAATAAATTGGAGATTCATAAAAAAACCTAATTTATTTAACAAAATTTCAATTATTAAATATGAAGAATATTAATTTAATAAGAAAACATAATAATCCTTTATATAATAAATCCATTTCAAATAAAAATCTAACATTTGGTTATTATTTTTAATAAAAAAATTACTATTTTATAAAATCATTCTAATCAATATATAATATTTTATTACAATATAAATAATTGTATAACTTAATTTTAATATTTAAGGGTTGCCATATTAATCATTTATGTTTGATACTATTGTATTATAATATGTATTATAGATGTCTGATCATTCTTTTTGAAATATTTTCAGATTAATTCCTTATTGACATTAATTGTTTACTATTTATTTAATAGAACTTCATTCAATTTAAATCGCTTTATCTGTGAGACAGAATTTGAATTATATAAATATTTAATGAATATTTTTCATTAAATTTAGAACAAATTAGGTGTTTGTAACAATATCATATATTTGTTATTATAAATGATTATCATCCAATCTCAAAAATATTCTAATTTTCTATTTACACTTAAAAATACCTTTATATTAAGATTCAATTTTGTATAATTCTGTATGATTTTGTTATTCAAAAATGGGATTGGAGTACATATACATTTTATTAATAAAAATTAAACATGTAAAACTTAACACAGAGTCCTTTAAAACATCTAATTATTGAAGGGGACACTAGTCCTATTAATCTTATAGACGACTTTGAATTATCTAGTCAATCTTCTTAAAATAATACATTTATCTAATCAGGAAGAAAGAATTCTGATGGGGATAATACAGTAAGAAGAAAAAAGTTTCGATCTTAAGACTTCACTGAGTAATTATATATGTGGAATGGCTACTTAGTGAAAAAATTTGAGTCTAAATAGTTGTGAATACTGAGAATATGATATTTATATATCTTTGTCTTTTTAAAATAATTCATGATTAGCTTAATTATATAAAATATCCAAAGATATTAAATGTTAAAAATAATGTGCAATTTAGAAAATAGCGAATTTGTTAATAATGGAATTAATATATAAAAAAAAGACTTTATAAAAGTTTCTTTAAATTCTTTCTATTTTATATATTAATTAAATATGCAGTAGTTTCATTAAAATTCATTATCTCCCTTAATAATAATTGGTGATGTTGATAATCTAGAAGAAGACCTTAAATCTAAACATACTCCTGAAAAATCTCCATCATACTTAGATTTCAACAATTAAAAATAAGAAAATACTGAGAAAAAAGAAAATAATTTAATGATTAAGAAATTTAGCTAACATGCTTCTGATTTTACCGATTTACTATACTTATGGAATGATTACCTTAGGAATAAGTTTGAAAAAAACAACAGACTTCAATGAGAAAAGTTTTATTTTGATTTTAAATTTCAATGTTATAGATACTAATTAGAGTATTTTCTAGTTTGTTATAGTTTAAAATATTCATTAAAATTCATATCTAAAGAGATTTGAATCTATATTCATTCATTAAAATTTCAAGTATTTTATATGAAAATGCCAGTATTGTTGATTAACGATAGTAATTAATATATTATAAAACTATCTTTATTCTTTTAATATTCCAAATTTAGAACTACAAGAACTTTCTATTACATATTTCCCTTATTTCATTAAAAATTTGTCAATTTTAATAAACTCTAGTAATTCAAATATTTTGACTTACTAAAACTAAATTCAAACTCAGGCTATATTAAATAACTTACAAAAAATTATCTAATATTAAAAATAAATAATATGTTATTCTTTATTCAACATACTTAAATATCATTAATTGTTGAAAATTCAATTAAATTAATCTATTTCTCTTTTTAATTATGATGTTAATTTAAAGACTTTTTTGTTTATTATATATTAAAATTTAGATAAATTGAATTAAATACAAATAGCAATCAAATATTTAAATGAAATTGATTTAATATAAATGAAAATTGGAAAAAATGAATAATCTGATTAATAGTGGAATATATTATATTAAAATATTAAATTGAATTTCCAATTAATCTTTAATATTATTGTTAATTATTAAAAGATTCCTTTCCTTTCTATTAGAATATAATTCATAAATCATAAATTAAATAAAAATAAATAATACAATATTATTGATGATTGTATTATTAATGATTAATACTATTATAGTAATATATAATAACATAGATTATTATAAAAGTCTATGATATATTAAATAATAATTTACAAGAGAGTAATATATTAGATAAATAAATTGAATGAATCATATTCTGTTTCAATTCCTGTGAAATTAAAAATACAAAATCCTATTAAAATTAATATGAAAATATATATATATATAAAAAATTATAAAAATTATAATAAAAATGACATATTAAAAATTCATATTTAATTTATTTTTTCAAATGAATTTATATAAAAATTAATATCAAATATATTGATAATCTTATATAATTGTAAAATAATTAATATTATAGAATTTAATTAATTATACATTTAAATTAATTTATAATATGAAATTACAAGTTAAAAAATAAATAATATTCTTTTATGTAAATTAAACTATTCAATAAAGTAATAAGAATAAGAATTATATTATAGTTTGTTTAATTATAAAGTAAAAATAGAATATATATCATTTATCTATATATTTATTTATTTAAATTATAGTTCCACTTAAAGAACCTAATTTTATATTGAATATGTATAAAATAAATGAAAATAGAGTGTTAGTTTGAGATAATTTATTATTATAAAAAAGTTAGTTAAAATTAAATTTAATTTTGACTTCAAAATAATTTTATAAACAATTATATATTAATTGATTATAGTTCATTTTTAATTATTTAAGATTGTCATAACATGTTCAGCAATTTTATTGAATTTATCAAGAGAATACTTTCTTTTGATTGCAGTCATATTACTGCTTGATAATAATTTGATGACTGGAAGGAATTCTTATAAACATTGTCTAAGATCTTCTTGATTATCGACATAATGAAGTGAAGAGGGTAATACTTATGGTGATCTAAGTAGATTAATGGCTAAAAGAATGGCAGTGGTAGCTAATAGGGATGATGAAAATCTTAATATATAATTAATTAATACTTGAGACATCTAATATCTAGGAGAGATAATTCTAGAATCATTCTGGAAGCAAAATTGATTTTATCACATAGATTGGCTCCTGATATTTGTCTTTCAAGAAATTTGAGTGGTGAAGTGGATGTCAAATGAAATTAGATTGTTAGTAATATTTTGCTTTCCATTTCTAAAGTAATAATAATAAATAATGATATATACCAAGTATTTCTTCTTTTGTATATGCATTGTCACAAACACAAACAAAATCTTTAAGTTCAGGAGCATAAATTTCTTCATATTTTGATGCTATGAAGAGGGAAGCAATTCCAACTAATTACAATTTATTTCGCATAATAGTATTTTTTGCAAGGTATCTATCAATTAAATTGATAGTCATATAGAGTGTTTCTGATTATAATTTAAATTTAAGATGCACATCAACTAACCAATCAATTAGAATTGAACGCATCTAATTAGTAATGTCTAATTGTAAGTTCATATAAAATGGAGTTTAACACATGAATTTATTTTGATTGATACGTAGATATTCAAAGATATCAGCAACATATGGATTAACAAATTCAGGAATAGGAAGAGGTGTTTCTTCTTCAATTTTCAACATAGGTTTAGAACAAATGAATTATGATGTAGATCGAGTTGGTAATCGTTGTATGTTAGTGATTTCATTACCAAATTATCGATTACGTGTTGTTACAAAGTTATTGTATGATACTCGTACATAATTGTTTTCGTTGTTCGACTTCATTGATTTTTTAAATTAACTGTTATAATTAAAAATTCTAATCAATTACAAAGTAATTAGCATTATTATTATTCCTTCATATATTATATATATATATATTAAACAGTTTTGAAATGTATTTAGATTCATTTATATGTGCAATATAAATAAAATATAATAATATACTAAATAGTAATAATTTACAAACATTAATTATGAACAATGTATAAATCCTACTATATGTGTTCCTAACAGCTAAGACTGTAATAAAAATCATCCATCCATAAAATACAGAAGTCCTTATTTTCTAATGGTAATACAAATTAATTATTTTAGGTTTGCCTTGTTATTCATCTAATAAATATTTGATTTGTTTTATTTCTTTGATTCCATATCATGGATGTGCTTGATTATGTAGATGACATTCATATTTTTGAAATTCCAACATTTGAATTATTGTGCAGTCTATCTATAGAACATTTAAATTGAAAAGGTCCTAACAGAAATAAGATATCAAATGTCTTACATCTTAGTTACAACCACATCTAAAATAATTAAATTGATTTTTGTTAAGATATTGTAATCTATAGAAAATTAGTAATTGACTGATGAACGTTAATCTAAATTACAATAATAATTATTGGATGTGAGCCAATTTATAGAAATTGAAACTCAAAATAGATGCAATAAATCATAACTTAATTAAACTTAAATAATGGATTAGACTTTGAATCTCAATTACACAATTATTGAAAAGTGTGATGATTTACCATCATAATAAAATAGAGAAAATTTAGAAATTTTAAAAGAATTAAATGTTTCAGCAAAAAAATAAGAATAGGTTAAACATTAGATAAATGTTTAGCCAATAGCATAATAAGTTTAATAAAAGAAGTTACCATAAGAATAGTTAAAATAATCCTTATAAATTTAGAATTAGAATACTAATTAAAATAATAATTAGAATTCTGTTTAAAAATCAAAATCTCCTGAATAAATTAAATCAGTTAGAACATCTTCAGATTTAAGTTCATTAAGAAAAACATTAGATCTCTTATAAACAGATGAAAAGATCTCATCAAGAATTGTAGTTGAAGCATTATAAGAGAAAGTATAAGAAAGTAAAGTTAATCCTTCAAAACATGAATTATTTTAGAAGATGTAATAATGTAAAGAGAAGATTTTACAATAACAAAAATAGAATTCTAATTTTTATGAATGAAAAACAAAACCAAAATCATAATTACAAATTATAATTATCTATATTAACTTAAAATTCTTTCCCATATTATTATTCTTCTGTTCCAATTATTTATGAAACAATAGATTTTCTTGAATTATCTAATGCAACTAATTTAGCTTTTTCAGCAATAACAATCATACGAGTGGCTACATTTCTTTTACGATTAATAGCTGCAAATATTATAATTAATGTCATTAATAACCAAGAACCTAACAATATGAATATCCAAGCTAAACATTAATTCTGGGTACCACATTCAACAGTATCTCCATTATAAATACAACAATAATCACATTCAGCATAATCACATGAATCTAAATTGAAATCTTATTTATTTATACATTTTTCAGCACTGTAATAACATTCACTCTCATTTATAGCACAGTATCCTTATTGAGAACAACATTTCAAATATGTACAATCTACAGCTGCTTTATTACTGAAACATGTTTAACTTAAGAGAGGCACAATGAAAATAAATAGCAACAACATTAAATATTAAAAATATTGTTTCATAATTAATCATTCGATATTTGAACATCCATCATAGCTACTTCAATATTTGTATTTGATATTTCATTTCTTTTTTAAGAGTTAATAACACTATTTTCTCTCTAAGCATTAGCTGCTCTATTATGAATCAAAACTATTCTTTGCATAGTTTTATTTCGAACATAAAAATAAAGACTAATGTAGATTAAACATATAGCAATCCATATTGAAAGAGTTATAGCAATATAAGTGTAACAATATGAATAGGTTTCACAATACCAATCACCATCATACCAATAACAACATTCATCACAATAGCGTTAAATTCCATATTGATAATAGTCTATAATGTAATAACATCATACTTACAGCATTCAGCTTTAACAAATATAAAAAATGCAAAGAGTAACAATATTTTCATTATTAATTAATAAATCACAACATTTAATCCTTCTTCATACCAAATACATTCTATCCGTCTAATTTATAGTAAAACTTCTTCTATTTTAGATTATCAAAAGGATCAATAATCTTTTGTACAAGTCTTAATGAATCATATGCTCTATCAAGACATTTAGCCAAACAAACTTTCTCTTGTCCTGCTATTATAAAATAAAAATATATTTTCATACAAATTGGTGTAGAATAATCATTAAAACATGTATCTAAACAAGTCATGTAATAATTTTCTTATAATGTTGTCTTGATATATTTTTCAAAGTCATCTTAAGGGAGTGATTTTGATTAACTTGAGAAATTAGGTTTAAACATAAATAAAAAATTTAATTATTTATGGCAATAGTAGAATATAACTAAAACTAAAAAAAAGTTATATATATATATATATATAAAAGTAATTATCATGATTTAAACATACTATAAAATTCCTCTTCTGTTATATATAAACTATCAGAAGGATTTAAAAGATGCCAAAGATTAGAATGGTTCTTACCCATTAAATGACAAAAATCAGATTCTGATATCTTACCATCTTGATCATGATCAATCAATTAAAAACAAAATTTCTAACATTTCTTTGTTTAAATTTTATCTCTTGCTACTGATGCTGCTAAAAATTCTATATCTAATAAAATAACAATACCCTTATAAGTCAGTGTATCATCTGATTATTTATTAAGTGTAATATATAAATCATCTATTTACTAATCTGTATTATGAATATTTAATTAAATTAATGATTTCTTGAATTCCTATCTAGATATCTAACCATCTTAATCTGTATCTAAAAATAAAAAAGTTTAAATGGCTTATCCATGATCATCACAATTTTAAAAATAATAAGTAATTAGAGAGAATATTAATTCTTCAAATAAAGTTGTGGAATGATAATTTATTAATTTAAATATCAATTATTAATTGATTTAATTTATAAATTTATGTTTAATAAACCAATCCTCTTATAATGCTTATTAAGCAGTAATTCTTTTATTAGGATTAACCTATAACATTTTACCTAAAAGACATTATAATTCTGGACTAATTTATTTATCAAATTAGAATTTTCCACTCTTTATAGCATTTTTCATCTCTTAATTGGTCCTTCCCATAAATGGATATCTTTTATGAACTAAATAGTATAAAGTAACTCCACAAGCCCAAATATCAATTTATTTACCATAATCTTTGCTAAAAATCTCAGGGGCCATAAAGTACATCTTAAATAAATTTTGATTTTCTTACTGATCCTAATTAAGAACTTAATTTTCTATTCTTTTTGATTTCAGTAGAAATACCAAAATCAATAAGTTTAATTAAAGTGTTACCATTATTATATTGATATAGAATATTCTCTGGTTTAATATCTCTATGAACCACTTCCTAATTATGAATATAACTTAATGCCAATAATAATTGATAACTTATTTTAGCTGCCTTCTCTTCATTAAAATTATGATTATTCTAAATATCTTCCTGTAAATCAGTTCCTTACAATAACCTACTTAATTTGATTTAAATTTACTCCAAAATCATATTATAACTCTATTCATCTTGAAATACTTCTATTGCCTTAACAATAAATGGATGATCTAATTTTGATAGAATCTCCATTTCTCTTAAAGACTTATTACTCAAAGAACTTTATTGTTTTTTTATCTATTTCATTGCTCTCAATTAATCTAAAATTTAATTTATCCTTTCATATACTTGTTTACTTATTTCTAACAATAAACACTTCTCCATAGCTTCCAGAACCTATTGATCTTTCTATTTAATAAGAATCAGCAAAGTTCTAATATCGAAACTTCACAAAATCATCAGATGTTATATGAAATTTAGATATCACAACTGAATCATTAGGAGTATGTGAATTTTAAGGTGACTTTAACATTAAATCTGGAGATTTAGGTACCATAGATTTAGTAGTAGTGAATTCTTTTTCGAAATCTGTAGGAGATAAAGATTCCTCCATTATTTCATCTTCTATTTGATGATCAATTACTGGTTTGAGAAAGTATACACTAGTACTTAATTGAGTTGTATATTCATATGAACAAGAATGTGATTAACAAATTGATCCCATTTATATAAATAATTATTAAATATAAATATATATAATCAATTAAAAGAGAATGTGTGAGATTATTATTATTATTGTGGTTCATCATTGATATTGAGAAAGTGGTCAATGTAATTGTTACCCTTTTATAATTTATTGAATCTATTCTTCAACATTATTTCCTTCATTAATTAATTATAATTTACAGTTCTTCCTTCAAAATGTTTATTTATCTAACACCATTTACTCCCATATTTCTGATATAAGTTTAACAACAACTTGTCATCTTCCTCATTCCAACTCTACTTATTCTTAATCCCAGGACGCAACTGATTCATATAATGCTCTCTTATTTACTTTCCATTCCTACCCTGCATTCCTCTCTTTAATCAACATTTCATACTTGAAGCAATCAAAGCCCAATTATTAAACTATGGGTTATCCTTTGTAAATGACAAGATCATCTAGTTCTCCTCCTCTGTCCACTTCCTCTTCTTGTCCTAACCCCCACTCAAACGCTGCCAGTGCTATTTACATTATGAAACTGTTCTTCCTTCCAAAAATTTAACTATAGTTTCCCATTCTCCTTTATAAATTTGAAACAAATCTTCCAAATGCTTATCCTCTTCCTCACTCCACTTCTTAATCTTCCTCTTCTACAATAAACTATCAATCATTCATATCTTACAGGTTCTTCTTTAATCCTATTCCTCTTCCTTATTGATTTTTACATTGTCCCAGAAGTACATGTTCTTGATTGACTGTATAATATGATATAATATTCACTTACGTTCCTTAAAGTTAAGACTCCTCTTCTGACTCATCTGATTCATCTTCCCTCATACAAAGCGTTGAAGATACCTTTAACATCTCACTCTAGTTCATATCCTCTTCAATTAAAACCTTATTGTTAACCAAGTCTATACTATCAAACACTTTAAAATAATTCATACTTTTCATAATCATTTTCGTATCTCATTATATCATTCTATGGTAATTCTTCAAAATCAATATAATCCTCATCTGCTTAAAATCTGTAGTCATCATTTTAGAAATAGTTCGATTAAGAGTTATTCATTTGAAATTTTTTATATAAGTAATTATGATAATCAACATAAATTATATTTAATAAAATCCCTCAACTGAATATTATTTTTAATAGGATCCTAATCTATCAGGCTCAATTCTCAGTATAGTTATCTACAAATTTGAAAAGACCTTCTACAGATTAGTATCATTTCCTTATTAATTCAGAATGAGTAGCTAATGAAATACACCTTCTTTTCATCAAAATCCAAAAAAGAATGCAAAAACAAAATATAATAAAAATAAATTCTTATATAAGATTTAATTATAGTGAATTAATTAAGAAAATAAATGAATTATACAATTAAATTTATTAAATATGTGAAACCTTTTTCATAGGATCATAATTCAATTTATACTTCTTATAGTAAATTCAATAAGTAATAGTTATGTCATGTTCATCAACAGATATTTAATACAAAAACTTAATAAAATATCATATCAATGCAAAAGGGGATATCAATACTTAAAAATTAAACAATCACTCTCAAGTTTGAATTTTTGGAATAAGGTATTCTAAAATATAAATTCTAAAAAAAACTTAAATTAATTTTTTATCAAACTGAATCCAACAAAATTAAAATATCAGATTACTATATTTCCGTTAACAACTTCGTAAATTAATCATCAATGAAATATGAACATTGTTTTACTCCAAAAGTAAATGACAAATATTGTGCAACTTAACATGTTAGTAATAGATAATCATATATATTTAATTCATTTTTTAATACATACATATTATATCAAATAAACTTGATAAGATATTAATAAAATATCATATTCAATAATAATATTTCATAAAAAGAACAGATGAAATATCCTCTCTTAATAATAATAAATCTGAAGAGAAACTTTCCCTCATATTAAAATAACAAATTTAATAAGGAGAAAACTATCTTGTTTATTCAATATTTTGTATAAATTTGAACAATATGATAATATGGATGGTATATTTATATAATTATTGAAAATTCATTTGAATTCTATTTTATTCAATAAATATCTTTTCTTTTCTTACTAATTTCATTATATTTATAAATATCTAAATCAAATATAAGAATATTTATTAATATTTACTTCATCATCATTATATTATATTATATTTAACATTGTTAACTATAAAAATTAAAATCAAATATAATTATCAAATAATTATATTATTATCTTTAACATGCATGAAATATTTTATAAATTAGCCATAATCATAATCTAATTATTTTAAGTTGATATTGATATAAATAATTAGTTAGAAATGTGAAGAGTGATTAATATTGAATTATCAAATATTAACATATCTAAAAAAATAAAGAATATTTATTTGATTAATAAAATTAATGAGCAATTTCATACCTGAGACTAAGACCTTTGGTAAATTTGATCCTCTTTTTACTAATAAGTATGATAAGGTCGGCCCAGAATTTGGAGAATTACAATAATGTATAAATTTGATAGATATTTCAAGAGAAAAGTGATTTCTTGGCTGCTAATGTTGGAAAGTTTGAAGTACAACCCGAAATCCCTTCAAATATTGAAGGACTAGTAATGAGGACTCCAATAACATGTAAATGTGTTGATTGATAAGCAAAGAAAGAACTCCAGTAACAATGGCTTGGTTTAGAAGAACAACCTCATTTGAAAGAAATGGAATTTTCAATATTCATACTCCAGTAATGAATACTAGAATCTTGCCTTGGATTTTCTTCATATTTGTTGCTTATGGTTGGTAAGGATTCTAGATTTCCTCATGGAATACAGTAGTCAAGAAAGATTCTAATGAGCCGTAAGAAATATAAATTATCAAATAGTCGTAACTCTCCTTATGATAAATTATCATTAAGAGAATTACCACCTGCCAAGAGTTGGGCTAGACCAGGTTGAATAGGGCTACGTGAATAATTATAATATATTAAATCAAAAACAAAATATTAAAATAAACACAATATAAATAATAGAGGTGTTGAATTGTTTCTCATTTAACTTAAAGAATAATTAAATCAAAATTTATTAATATTTCTTTAAATTATTACATTTTCTTGTATTTTGCATTATATATATATATATATATAATTTTTATAGAATATATATATAATATCATCTGAGAGGATACATTCAAAATATATTTTATTTATTTTCACAAGTATTTAAACTTATTTGAAATGTAAATGATTGTTATAGTTGCACATATTGTAATAATTGATTTAGATTTATATTTCTATAAATTAATTTATGTAAAGAATCTAATTAATTAATATGATATTATGTTTAAATAAATATTACAATGATAGATATAATAATATTGCAATAGTTAAATATATGGATAATAACACAAAGTAAATATATAAAACATAAGAATCATTAATTATTAAGACGTTTTCTTTATGTGATAGGTTTCCTTTCAGTTAATTATTCAAAATATGGACTATGGTGTATTTAATTAGGTTGTTTAACTTAAATTGGTGCAAGTCGTTTAGCAACTTTTATTTGTTCATAACGTTCTAATAATCCATCATGAGAATGATCTCTTTCTATATGATTAACCCAACTAAAATCTAAATTAATTTTAGGAATAGTTTAAATTTTTGTTTGATTCATAGCCATTTTATAATGAAGTTCTGTTATTTTTATCTTCAATTCTTCAATTTATTATTTTAGTTATACTTCAGCAATTTAATGGATCTCATTCATTGCAGTTTACTTTTATAATTTCTCTTTGAATAATGATATTTAATTATCTCTATCCTTCAATTAATCAATAAGATAAATATTCTTTCTCTATAATAATACTATCTCTTCTTCCAATTTTGAGATTAATTCTCTATCAAAATTAATTTGAATAGATTCATCTTATGCTTCAGCCATATCTGTAAGACTACTCACCATTACTTATTTATCTTCTACATCATCTTATTATTCAGCAATTGATTAATATAACAGTTATGATTCATTATCAGAGTCTTACATTATTTATTTATTTATTTTTATATATATTAACTCAATTTAACCCTAATCTCTTTAATTCATAGTTCAATCTCTCTTTAGTCTCCATATTCTCACATGAATTTAGATACTCTGTTATATCATTATATAATATAGACAATTGAGAATATTAATTATTACGAATGTTGTACTATATTTATTTATATACATTACCACTATTTTATTAAAAACAGGTGAATCCTCTTCTCGAAACACTTTTGTACAATTCAAAAATAGAATGACTTAAACTAATTAATTCATAATTATTAACTGATTTAAATAATTTCAAAATATAATATGAAATCAGGCAGCTCATGGTTGAATGCTGTATAAATGAATCCACTTGACTTTGCTGAAATTGATTACTTAGATCCTGCTTTAAAGGATGGACATAAGATCCTTTATGATCGCATATTAAACATAAATATTCGATTCTAAGATAGATTTTCAGAAGTCTAAGAACTTAGTTAACCAGAACCTATACGTCTCAGAGTATTATAACTAGTAAGAATATAGTTTTATTAAGGGGAATTGATAGTAATCCATAATCAATTAAAATTGAAATAAGTTCAGAAAAAGACTTGTTCTTTTTATTTATTCATGAAGCCACAATTAATGGTTTTACTTAGATTAAAGCATTATAAAATTTATAAATGCCATTTAAGGATTATGCATAGATAACAATTGCAACTTTAAATAAAGTTGAATAAAACTATAATGGGTATTATGATCTATATATCTATTTAGATATGGAGCTATTTTCTAAGTAATGTTGGATGGTTCTGCTAGATTGGAAATCAATTAGACAACAGAATTTAGAAGTGTTCATATGATTCATTTTGATTTTCATTAAGTTGAGGAATCATTTCTACGTTAAACAATAGTTTTTAAATACAATTAACAAAGAAAAGAAATTAAATATCTTACTTAATCATTAAGTGAATGCAGAATGAGAGCCACTGGAACATTCAAATGATTTTAAATTTATATTTATACGTGGACATACAATATCATTTTCATTACACTTATTATTTAACTCTCTCTTAAACCTTTTAGAAACCTTTATCAATTTTTTCATGATGTTACAAATAGAGTGGATGGACAAACTATAATGAATTATAATGAAAAAATACTTAATCATACAACTTCTCAGCTCCCTTTATTTGTGGATGGAATAAAGCAACAAAGAGTGCTAATTTTAAGATATGATAAAATGGTATGAATTCTAATACAAATCCAATGGTGGCATCTGCTAAAGTGATGATTGAAAATAGAATCCAATAGGTTAACCATTATTTATCATCATTTTCACCTAAAATATGGATATATAACATACCTGAAGACTCTATTGCTTGAATGCTTCTATAAGCTGGATAGAGGATAGAAATGAATGTGGAGAGAAAACGTGCTGCAATTCCAAAAACAATGCTGAAAAGTGCAACAGAACCACATATAAAAACAACATGAGCAGGTCTAACTCCGATTTTGCTGCATGGTCCCTTAAGAATTTCCATTTGATCTGTATTATCAAGTCCAAATTTTGTGATTAATGGATCAAGTTTGGATAACACTACGTTCATTAATTTTATTAAATTAAAAATTATTAAATTTCCAAATTCATATTCATTCGCTTTCAACTGACCATCTTGCAATTCTATCTAAATTATCATTCAATAATTTTTATGCCTCTTAGACTCTATCCAATATAAATTATCTATTAATATTATAGAATTATTCACCTCTAATCATTTCTGTCTTACAATGTCTATCCTACTTCACGAACTGCCAATTTCTTAGTATTCAATTCCAATTCCTTTTATTAAAAGTGAGCATCCAATTCTTAATATGATCTATCACTTTAAGCCAATGAACTAATAAAATATATATAATATATTAATATTACCTTCTGATTTCACCACTCAACTTATTGTATAATCTAATATTTTCTTATTCCTTCTCTTCATCAATTGCTAAACTATTTAAGACTGCATCTCTCAATCTATTCAACAATTCTTAAATATGTTCAACTTATTCAGTTTATAAATGAGCAGTAATCTAAATGTAAATAATAATTAATTACTTAAGCTAAGACTTCAATATGTTTTCCTCTTCCTAATGCTTTGATTTCATCTAATAAATTATCTTTTTCAATTAAACTATGTCCACCTCCTTATTGTAATTCACTCACACGTAATAACAATTATCCAATTACATCCAAAATAGCATTTTAATCACCAACTCTCTTTTAATATGCTTATTAATCATTTGCAAATAATCCATCAATAATAGTTTATTAGTTATTCAAAACTTAAATTCTACTTGCTGCTTGTTCAACTGATACTCTTAATTCTTCTACTTCATTTGCTAATCCTGAAAATGTAGCTTCCATTTCTTATTATTTATCATTGAAATATTTCTCATCCTCTGATTCATCATTTGCCAAATGCTTTCTCAACTCTTCAACATGATCATTTAGACTCTATAATGTTTCACCCTTCTGAACCATCATCAATAATTCTCCAAATAATCTTCCACCGAATTCACTTTGTTTTGACTATTTCCTTGTAAACCAACACTCATTACATAAGTTTTAAACACTTCTATAAATGCACTATGATCTGCTGTCTGTAACATCACATTGCTGCTAGCTGTCACCAACATTATACATAACAATCCAAATCCAATTCTATTCATACCCGTTTTTTATATAATTAATAAAAAATCATAAAAAATTTCAATCATCTCCAATACATGGAATCATTTTCTCAAACTTTAATCCATTTCTTTATTTATTCTAAACAATACTTCTACTCTTTTACTTAACTTAATTTAAAGTCATTATTTATTTAAATTGATCATATCTAATCAATCCCAAATTTAATTCTTAAAATATTCCATCTATCTTATCCTAACTAAGTACTATTCCTTTTCTACTCATTGCAATTCCATAATCATTCTTTGATATATATTATCTATGTTTAACATCATGCCAAATGAATAGATTATCCAATCTATCCTAAGTTAAATAAAATGGTTGATTCAATAAAGAGGCCATAAAATCTGTATATGAAATATAAAATCCTTAATCATTTTTACTAAATTTCTCTATTGGTAATTGTTTTAACAATTTAATTTTTCCTTAATATTCTAAAAATTCTTGAAATTCAATTTCATTAATAGTTCCACTATTATCTCTATCCAATTCTTCAAATTTCAATTTTAAATATTTCTATTACAAATCTGTTAATTGTGATAATAGAATTTTCAATGCTTCCTTCTTAAATTAAGTACTCTCACTATATTATTTAAGTAATTCAATGATTCTTTCAATTTCTAAATTATTTTCTTCACTTTACATTGTTGTCAACATCCTATATTAATTGGAATCACGTATCATCCATGTATGTTTAAGTGCTTATAAACATGTTATTCTCTTATTTGGATTAGGTTCCAATAATTTAGTAATTAAATCCTAACACNGTAGCTTCCATTTCTTATTATTTATCATTGAAATATTTCTCATCCTCTGATTCATCATTTGCCAAATGCTTTCTCAACTCTTCAACATGATCATTTAGACTCTATAATGTTTCACCCTTCTGAACCATCATCAATAATTCTCCAAATAATCTTCCACCGAATTCACTTTGTTTTGACTATTTCCTTGTAAACCAACACTCATTACATAAGTTTTAAACACTTCTATAAATGCACTATGATCTGCTGTCTGTAACATCACATTGCTGCTAGCTGTCACCAACATTATACATAACAATCCAAATCCAATTCTATTCATACCCGTTTTTTATATAATTAATAAAAAATCATAAAAAATTTCAATCATCTCCAATACATGGAATCATTTTCTCAAACTTTAATCCATTTCTTTATTTATTCTAAACAATACTTCTACTCTTTTACTTAACTTAATTTAAAGTCATTATTTATTTAAATTGATCATATCTAATCAATCCCAAATTTAATTCTTAAAATATTCCATCTATCTTATCCTAACTAAGTACTATTCCTTTTCTACTCATTGCAATTCCATAATCATTCTTTGATATATATTATCTATGTTTAACATCATGCCAAATGAATAGATTATCCAATCTATCCTAAGTTAAATAAAATGGTTGATTCAATAAAGAGGCCATAAAATCTGTATATGAAATATAAAATCCTTAATCATTTTTACTAAATTTCTCTATTGGTAATTGTTTTAACAATTTAATTTTTCCTTAATATTCTAAAAATTCTTGAAATTCAATTTCATTAATAGTTCCACTATTATCTCTATCCAATTCTTCAAATTTCAATTTTAAATATTTCTATTACAAATCTGTTAATTGTGATAATAGAATTTTCAATGCTTCCTTCTTAAATTAAGTACTCTCACTATATTATTTAAGTAATTCAATGATTCTTTCAATTTCTAAATTATTTTCTTCACTTTACATTGTTGTCAACATCCTATATTAATTGGAATCACGTATCATCCATGTATGTTTAAGTGCTTATAAACATGTTATTCTCTTATTTGGATTAGGTTCCAATAATTTAGTAATTAAATCCTAACACTCAGTTGATACATTTAATTTGAACTTGAGATTGGGTTTATTTATTTATTGTTCCAATTATTGAATATTTTATCCACTAAATGGAGGTTCTCCAAATAGTAATGCATACATAATGCAACCTAAAGACCATTCATCACATGTCTCTGAATAGACACCCTTTATAACCTCTGGAGCCACATAAATAGGAGTTCCAACTTTAGTTTAATGTCTGCATTTTGATCTCTATTATTATGGCTTTTTTATAACTTATTCACGCTTACTCAATCCAAAGTCAATAATTCTTATATCAAATTCTTCATCAGCATTTGCTAACATCAAATTCTCAGGTTTTAAGTCTCTATGAATAATTCCTCTTTCATGTAAATATCCAACAGCAGAAAACAATTATCTCATTATTATTTACGTCATTCTTTCACTTAATGCTCCATGTTTTAAGATTTATTACAAGAGTTCTCCACCTTTACAGTACTCCATCACAAAATAAAAGTGATTTTAATCTTCATATTCCTCATAAACTCTAATGATGTTTGGATGATCAAGTCTTGATAAAATCTCTAACTCTCTTTATATTTACTCAAAACTTAATCTATCTTTATCTATGCATTTTATAGCATAACATTTCCCTTTAAAACCATTCTTTACTTAATCTATCTTGTAACCAATTTGAACTGTTCCAAAATTGCCACGACCGATTACTTATCCCAATTTATAAAAATGACGAATATCTAGCTAACTGAATTACCTGATCTCTGAATTTTTTTGAACTTTTTTACGTACATTAGAACTACAAGAACCCATTTATTTGGATTAAATAAATAATAAAAGTTTATTCTTTACTGTGAATAAAGAAATCATATTGAAATTAATATAGTATAAAATTGCTAATAATATAAAGAAAGTAAGATTAGCAGTATTTAATATTTAATATAAAATGTTTCTCATCATTAATAATTATTTGCAATTAAATTAAAAAATCACATATTTTTGTTGAAATTATCTGATTATGTGTAAATAACTAAAAATTATTATTAATTGATTTCAATTTGAAATCTTATCAAAAAAGTTAGTATAAATATTATAACTATACATAATTATTTTTTGTTTATAAAAAGAAATAGTTTAGTATATGATTTATTAATAGTCTAATACATAAGATTCTAGTAACAATAGGATAATTATAACATTTATAATAAATATCATTAATCAAAATAATGTTATATAATTATATTTAAATTATTATATATTTCACATATTAAATAAATTAGGATATACTATTAATAGGTTTTTGAATAATTATCCAAGATTTTAAGTAATAATAACAATATTCAATCGCTCAATAATTATTTGTATATTTTAATATATTGTATTTCTATTTAAAATGTATCACACATATATAATAATTTTATTGATAACACTAATATTCTAAATATATTATGGATTAAGAAATGATTCGAAAGTGGCTGAATTACTAGAAAATACAAAGAGTTATAATTGCATACCAGAATTTGATGAGGAATGTAATGATAGTCCTCCAGAAATTAGACCATGATACCTGATATTGATAATAAGTATCAAATCAACATAGCTAAGTTGTCGAATGAAAAAAACAAAACAGTATTTAATTATGCAGTCCACAGAAATACTAAAATTGGAGAGACTATCAAAAATTATATTAGCTAAGCTCAGAATAGAGTTAATCAAAGGAGAAGATAAATAAAACCAATTCGATTCAAAACATAGCAAACCACTAGAACTGAAACTAGTGCTGAACGATCATACAATATATGTCCTTAACACTCTATTTATCTTAACAATCGTAAATCTGTTAGAACAAGTTCTGTTATTGGAGCCATTAAAACATAATAATCAAATTCACAACTGAGTTTTTATAAAAAAAGTTCGATTCCTAAAATGATTACTAAACGAAACACTTTATTTTCTTAAACAAGACATTCTCAATAAATTGAATTTATTAAATATGAAAAAATATGATGCTATTATTATAGGAGGTGGTCACAATGCACTTGTGGCAGCCTGCTATCTCAAATATAAAAACATCTTGCTTCTAGAAAGAAGACATATAACAGGTGGAGCAGCTTAAACAGAAGAAATATATCCTGGTTTTAAATTCAGTCGATTCTCATATTTGCTTTCATTGATGCGTCCATCAGTAATTAATGAATTGAATCTATATTCACATGGATTAAAACTATTTAGAAGACCTATCTCCAGTATTACAGTCACCAAAAATAAAGGAGAGTATCTGCTGATGAACTCAGATTCAACTTTTTGTAAATAAGAAATAGCCAAGTTCTCTAAAAGAGATAGTGAAGTCTATGATGAATACAACTAATTCTTATCAGAAATTATAGATTTATGGAGTTATTATTAAGATAAATATCCTTATGACACATCTGCTAAAGGATACAATGTAAAGAAAAGTTTTGATGATCTTGGATTGTTACTGAAGATGGGATAAGATGGATGGAAAAATAAAGATAAAGTATATGTTGTATATTTAATTAGATATACGATTACATTTAATTTATGTCATAATCGTCAAGTTAATTTTTAAATAAATGGTTTGAATCTGACATCTTGAAAGGAACACTCATAACTGATGGAATCATAGGTGAAATGATATCTATTGATACTCCAGCTAGTGCATATATCTTATTGCATCATGTAATGGGTGAGATATTCCCAAATTCTAAGGGAGAATGGGCGTTTGTTGAAGGTGGAATGGGATCTATATCTAAAATACTTACTAAATTGAATGAATAGAAGGGAGTAGAGATCAAGACCAATATAGGAGTGGAACAAATACTAACATCTAATAATTAGGTTACTGGAGTTAAATGTTCAGATAATAATACCTATTATAGTGATACTATAATAAGCAGTGTAACTCCAAGAATCACCTTTGAGAAATTGCTATCAAATGATTAATAATAAAAGAATCCTAAATATTTCAATGATGTTAAACATATGGAATATAATGGAGCTTGTACTAAATTTAATTTTGCTGTATCTGAAATGCCTAAATTTAAATGTTTTGAAGGAACCAAATATGAAAACCCTGAATCTGTATTAATTGGTACAACACATTTAGGATGTGAAAGATTGGATACATTAAGATAAGCATACTAAGATTGTATAAATGGAAAGTATTATTAATTAATCATTTATCTTATAGATCATTTAGTGATAATTTGTTTGTGGATTTAGTTGTTCCTACTGTTCATGATAAGACAATAGCTCCATAAGGGTAACATATAGTATAATGTTTGGTTTAATATACTCCTTATAAGGCTAATTGGAATGAATAAATCAAACAATAATTGAAGGAGTAAGTTATTGATTATATTTCTCAATATGCTCCCAATTTCAAGTATCTTTTATTTCCATTTTATTAGGAAATCTATACTCTATACAGATATGGTTACACCATAGGAGATTGAGTAACTCTTGAATATGACAGAAGGCAATATTTTCCATGGTGCTTTGACTTTGGATAAATTGTATGGAAATCGACCAAGTAATGGATATAATAGTTATGGAACTCCTATTAATGGATTATTTTTGTGTGGTTCTGGAACTCATCCTGGTGGAGGTGTTATGGGGGCTCCAGGAAGGAATTGTGCATTGTATATTAACAATTATGTAAAATGAGATACATAATAAAAATTATCATCAAATTAAAGTATTTAAAAGATCATTAAGTTTATTTGTCATTTCCTTTTTCATATGTTCTATAAATTCATAGAATAAATCATCATTCATAGAATCAATTAAGGGTTCAATTACATTCACAGCATTTTTTAGAATATTTAATCTGAATTTCCTATTAGATTTTAATTCCTTGATTTCTCTATTATTCAGTATTCGTAAAGAAGGTTCTAATATTTCAATTTCTTCTGATTCATTAATATTTTGTATCTATTAATTGTTTTATATATTTATGATGTCTTCAGGTATTTCATAATGATTATCTTTTTCATTAATAGTAATTTATAAATCTTATGGATTTATCTATTATTCTAATTAATTATTTTATTTATCTAGATCTATTTATTATTCATTATTAGAACAGTTAAATATTTATTATTGCTAACTAGATTCCTCTAATAATATATTATCTTAAGTTTCAATTATTATATGATTAGATTAATCACTTATAATATAAGGACTTATTTCTAATTGAGAATAATCATTCTAAATATTATTATTTTATCTTCTTTAGTGTATAAATAGATCTTCATCTTATTCACCACTTTATTCATCTATTTATACTAGAATAGGTGGATTAGCTGTTTTAACAATTTTATGTGTATCAATAATAATAAAAGGATATGTGATATCTTCACCATCATCTCCTATTTCAATTGCATTTTATGGTATTTCATTATTACTTTATACAAATTTACATTATGTTTTCTTATGTTATTTAAATACTGCTAAAGTTCCATTCCATTATTAACATCTCAAACATTTAACTTAAACATCTCCAACTATTTTTGTTGCTAAAATATCCTTATCGAATTTATAATTGCGTTCTAATTGATGTCTACAAAGTGGACAACTCTTCTTTTATTATATCCAACGAACCAAACAAGTACCACAAAATGTATGTCTATAATTTGGATCTAATTATACCCACAAGTTGCTCGTATTGGATTATAAAATACTTCTCTGCATATTGAACATAATAAATGTTGATTCACCTATTACAATCCCATTACTTCAAATTATCTATTCATATAATAAATTAATATATTCAAAAATTCTATTTTACAATAACTTCCTCATTTTTTTCAATGAAAAAAATATTACATGATTAAATTAGATCAAAAAATATATTTAATAAAATATGGACTTTTTTAATAATAATGTATGATAATTTTAAGTGTCTTAACATAATTATATTAATATTATATTAATTAGACAGTAATAAATTTATTTTTGACTTTCATTTTAATAAATAACATTTCAATTATCTTAGAAATTCTAATAATAATGTATCAAAACAATTATTTTTAAATTTATTATCAAGTCTTTATTAGAATATAGATGGTAATTAGAGATTTTAAATTATTATATTATTTTATTGAATTTAATAATGAGTATTATAATAATAAAAAAATGTTTAAAAACGATCTTTTGATGGAAGGAATCACTATATTGATAGTAAGCATGATATTTTTGATGATTGGTTACAATTTGAGTAGTAGTAAAGGAGAATTTGGAAGAATTGGAAAGAATGCTAGATAGAGATAAGAAAAATGTTAATTTTCTGATATTTTGACAGATTCAGAATTCAACACTTTATTAGATGAAACAAATTATATTGAATGATGCATGACCTTATAATGATAGATGATCATCAAAATTTAAAGAGTTGTCGTACAAGCACAATTCCTTATTTGAATGCTTGTTATGATGGTTCATAATCTAATTTGCTCATCACATAATCACTAACAATTGCAGGGTCTTTTGAATTAGGTCTTCCTATCCCAATTTTTAATCTAATGAATTTATCATCCATATATTAAATAATGGATTTCAAACCATTATGTCCTTCTGCACTTCCTCCTAATTTAATCTTGCATCTTCCTGGTAAATTGTCTAAATCATCATGTACAATAATAATATTGCTTGTTGATATATTGGCTTTATCTGCAATTTTTTTTATTGGATGACCACTTGAATTCATGAATGAAAGAGGATTAAATAGGATTATATGTTGAAATGATCCAATAGACCCATTTGATCCATTATTCATTTTTATGTCAAACTCTTTTGCAAGATGCTTAATGAATAATTAACCTGCATTATGTCTAGTATTTTCATAAATTTTGCCAGGATTTCCCAATCCAACAATTAAATGAGTCCCATTTGGTATTCTTTAAACAGAGAAGGCATATCGAATTTTATGTATCAGATATGACATAAATGAAATTAAAATTTTCATTAATTACTAGTATTTTATACCTATACTATTATATATATATAAAATTGAAAAAAGAATAATAATTTAAATTATGAATTTAAGACCTTAACCAGGCCATCAGAATAAGAATGGAATTAATCCAATAACAAATACTCCTATAGATTATGCATAAAGAGGGAATCAACAACCTTATTATAAGCAACCTTATCCATAGCCTCCCATATAATACACTCAAAATCCGTAACAGTACCAAAATCCCTATTATAATTAAACTCTTCCATAAGTTGTATAGCAGACTATGCCTGAGGCAGGATAGAAACTACCTTTATAGAGTGATGCAATAGAATTAGATCACATGAATGGCTTTTCTGGGCGATATCGAGATGTGATTCACTTGCATCCTCAAAAGGAGTCCACTATAGTATATGCATTAGCTGGATTAATTGTAATAGAGAACTTAAATGATAAACATTAACAATTGTTTTTGAGAGGACATGACATGGATATTAGTGCATTAACATTATCAAAGACAGGCAGATATATAGCATCTGGATAAATGGGATCTCGAAATTCAAAGACACCAGAAGCACCAGTCATATTGTGGGATTTCAATGCAAGAAAACCAATGCAAATATTCAGAGGTTTAAGAGATGAAATTACAAATCTTTCCTTTTCAAGTGATGATAAATTCTTAGCAGCTACTGCATCAAACAATAATTTAATAATATGGAATTGTTAAGATTATACTATTGTTCATAATAAATTATTAGAAGTTCCAATAAATCTGATCACTTGGTGTCCTCCAAGAAGATCATCTACTAAACATTCTTAATATTTAATTGTCACTTCCCAAGGTTCCAATATCTTCTTAAATACAATGGATTTTGATGTTGCTTCTATGCAATATCAACTCAAATAAGCACCATGTCAATTACCTAGTAGTGGTTTAGTAAGAAATTACACAAAAGCAGTAATTGATGCAAATGGAGATTATTTATATGTTGGAACTCATGCTGGTGAAATTTGTATTTTCAGTATATCCTCATAATAAGGAGGAATATTCAAAGCAACAATACCTATTAGTAATAATGGAGTTTTGAGCATTAATATTTTTGGAAAGAATCTTTTTGTTGGTTCTGGAGATGGAAAAGTGAAGAAATTGACTGGAAGTGATACTAGATGGAATTTAGAAAGAGAATTATGTTTAGAAGGTAGAATGAATTCAATAACAATTGATCCTAATGGTAATGAATTATTAGCAGGAACATCAAATGGTAGAATCTACAGAATAAACACTGCACATTTAGATTCATCTGTACATACTGAAGGACATTAATCAAGTATTGTTGGTTTATCAGTACCATTAAATGCATGTGATCTCTTTGTCTCCATTGATTATGAAGGTGTAGTTATGGTATGGGATATGAATGAAATGCTTGTTATTACAAGATGTATTCCAATTAACATGAACAGAGTCAAAGGATCATCAGTTTATTTGGATCCTGATAGAACTATCATCTCTGGTTGGAGAGATGGGTTTATAAGAGCATATATGATAACTAATAAACCAGTATCTCCTATTAAATGGGAGATTGTTAATGCTCATAAAGGAGCTGTAACTACTTTGTATAGTGATCAAAATTACTATCTCTCTGGTGGTGAGGATAGTATTATTAGAGTTTGGTCTAAAACTGCAAGATAATTAATAACTTAAATATCTATCCATTCTAAAGAAATTACTAAAGTATTTCCAGATCTCATGAAACCTAATTTTATTCATTCATGTTCAGCTGATAAAACTATTTACACTTATGATCTCAAGACAGACAAAAAGGTAATTCAACATTAATCTAGAAATGGAGTTCTACTTGATATGACTTAGAGAAAAGATAATGAATTAGAACTAAGTAATTGAAATTTCTTATTATATTTTAGTTACTTGTGGTATAAATATGCCCATCTAATTTTGGGATATAGATATTGTAGAGCCAGTCTAATCAATAGATGTAACAAAATTGAATTCAATTGCCATTAGTCCAGATGGTAAAATATTGGCTACAGGATCAGATTCTGGGGAGGTAAATTAATAATAATATTATTTTTTAGTTAATTTTGATCTCCATATTAACTTAATCAATTTTGGGTAAATATTTAGGGCATTCTTCTGGGGTTTCTAAGGTAGCTTGGACAAGTGATCAAAAATAAGTTATCACAACTAGTTATGATGGGACTGTATGCTTATGGAACATTTATCTATGATTATGATATATTATTATCATATATTTTGTTTACAAATTAAGATATCATAATTAATAATAATTAATATTCATGGATCATAATGACATCTTGCATACAGAGTGTCTTCAAAGAGTCACCGGTCTTATAGCACATCAAAATCATTTAAACACACCATCATATTCCAAACCCATACATCCTCCAAATTCAAATCATATGCCCAAGTCTTTCAACAATCTGGATTTAATTTCCTTGGATAGGTAGTAACCTCCCAGACTAAAGTAGTTCGGAAACTTCATAGAATTCTTAATTTAATGATAATGAGAGTTGTTGTTGTTTTAATTGTGGAAAAGTCAATAAAAAAGTTAGGAGTCTTTAAAAGAAATTTATTGCTTTTCACACATAAATGTCCGTACTTAGAAAATTCAGATTACTCAAAAGATTCTAAAATGCTGTCTATTGCATTATTTATTTAATAGATAAAAAAAGGAAGTCAAAAAAAAATCAAAAATAAAAAAAAATGTATAGATTTAAAACTAAAATCAATTTTGATGCTTCACCATTGATGCCTCCTTAATAATAATAAGTCCAATATGAAAAACATGATGACAAATAAAATTAAAAAAATCAACAATTACAATCAATTCAAGCTAAAATTATTGATAGCAAACATAAATAAAGATAATCAATAAGAGTATATCTATAATAGAAATTAAATGAAAAAGGTATTCATTTCTTAAAACTAATTTAGATCATTAATAAACATTGCCCAAAATTCATAAAATAACAACTAATTCCTTTACCACAATTTAACCATTAAGATTTTCTAAAAATGAGGAACCAAAATCCTCCCGTTTTTCTTCACAAATAAAAATCACTCCTTAAACTGAATTCAGTCCAACTTCTTTACACAATCATTCTCCATATTTTAGGAACATCACTTCTAGAAATCATATAGATAGTATTATTCAAACATCATTCATAAAAACACCTAGAACAATTATTAAAAGTATTTCATCAGAATAACTCATCTAAAAATAACAACAACATCAATTTCACTCTAGAAAAAATACTCCATCTACATTCAAAGGAATTTTTTGATATTTAATTTTGTAGTAACATATTAATATTTTTCTTAATTTGATTCCTTGATATTTAATAATAGTTTACCATTTAATTATATAAATAATGAATAGATCTCGTAGATAAGAATTATTACAATTAGTTAACAAAAAACGAAGTTTTCTTTCCCCTTCCATTAAAAGAACATCTAGTAACAAACCCTTTAGAAGATAAAGTTGTAGATGTTCAGAGTGTGGAAATGTAGGTGTTTTCTAAGATAGATAAAATGCTTTGCATCCATAAACTTATATAAGGGCACATCATTGTAAAAAGAGGAAACGAAGAATGTAAAGAAGAAAAGGCACTTATGTTACCTCCACAAGTTTAAATATTGGAGATTCATAAAACAATACAGTAATTCTAACTAACAATTACAAATTAAGAAAAGCCAAAACCATACTTGTGAGTTCTAAAACATCAGAAGCCATATTAAAGTGTAAAAGACTGTTAACAAAAGATGATTAACAAATTAATTATGAGTTCTTTTATAATAATGAATTAAAATATTCAAAAGGTATCATGGAAATATCATAACAATCTTAAACATATGAAACAGCTTTGATTTCATTCGTTAATCTAACTAAATCACCAAGTTTTGGATTTAATAGTTTTAAAAATATCATCAATGAATCAAGATCAAGTTCAAGTGATGAATAAAATTTAAAAGTCTCTGAGTTAAAACCCATTTAATCAAAGACTCCGCTTATCAAAACCAAAAACATTTCTATGCATAATCGCAAACTTACTGAAGGTATTATGCTTACAAATGTTAATAAAACTGTTTAATAATTTGTATAATCCTGCACTTCAATGAAAGTAATAAACACTCCAAAACCGTAAAAACAAATTTAATTGCCATAAATAAATACAAAAAAAGAATAAAATAAATTTTCTGTCTATTTATTGAGTTCTCCTCGTAAGGCACTCTTTGAAATGAAAACTCAAATTACATCATTGAAAAAAATCAAAACTTTTAGAAAGTGATGTTATTCATCTATATATTGATTTTTATTGATCAAATTTGTAATTGAAATAATTATTTATTAAATGATACATAATAAGGATATTCTGATAATTATCAAATCTTCATAATATTTATTTATTATCATATTTAAAATTATGATGAAAATTCATATTATAATGTATCTAAATTATAATGTCTCTTAGTGTAAAATAAGAAGTTCTTTAATAATAAGATACAAGAATTAATATTAATTTCAATCATTCTTTATTATTGTTAATAATTCTTTAATGAATCTTGAATTTGGGAAAATAGTTGATATATTTTTTAATCAAATAAATTAAATAATATGACAGAAAAAATGTGTTGATAATAACATACCTATATATTTAATTTAATATATTAAAGTATTATAAATTTTTGAAATTATTTGATATTTTCCAAATAAACTTATTTATTAGAATTTATTTTTGAAGAAAAAGAAATAATTGTATATAAATTACTTTTAAGATTGCATTTCAAAATTAATAAAACTATTGACAATAATTTATATATGGACTAAATTTAAGATATCAAAAATTGTAAGTTTATTGGATTTAAATATCTGAATTGATAATAATATTTTTTAAATTGCTAAAACTTCATTCAAGCATTGAATGTTAATGATTGCTAAGATTTGTTAGGCTTTATTTGAAATCATATTTTATAAAACAATTTGATAGAAGAATATCAATCAAACTATAGAAGATATCAAATAATATGGAAAGAGCAGTTATTCATGAGTTTAGTTATTCTGCTTCTTTTCAGTAGGCTATGATTATTATCTTAAAAATTAAATAATTTTAAGATTGATCAATTAAAGATTAATCTATAATTTAAAACAAATGTGTGCGTTCAAAATACTATAATCTCTTATTCTATTATATTTTCTCTTTCAGAGATGATTATTTGCTAATGGAATAGTGAATATAATTGGAATTGAAGTATTTTTGATAACCATCAAAAAGACCATCTTTATGGTTTTTTCATTTAAATCTATTATGTTGTCTTTTTAAATTGTTGTGAATTTTCGTGAAAGTATTCTAAATTAATTCTAATGTTTTTTAACTTTTTATATTATATAAANAGTAATAAACACTCCAAAACCGTAAAAACAAATTTAATTGCCATAAATAAATACAAAAAAAGAATAAAATAAATTTTCTGTCTATTTATTGAGTTCTCCTCGTAAGGCACTCTTTGAAATGAAAACTCAAATTACATCATTGAAAAAAATCAAAACTTTTAGAAAGTGATGTTATTCATCTATATATTGATTTTTATTGATCAAATTTGTAATTGAAATAATTATTTATTAAATGATACATAATAAGGATATTCTGATAATTATCAAATCTTCATAATATTTATTTATTATCATATTTAAAATTATGATGAAAATTCATATTATAATGTATCTAAATTATAATGTCTCTTAGTGTAAAATAAGAAGTTCTTTAATAATAAGATACAAGAATTAATATTAATTTCAATCATTCTTTATTATTGTTAATAATTCTTTAATGAATCTTGAATTTGGGAAAATAGTTGATATATTTTTTAATCAAATAAATTAAATAATATGACAGAAAAAATGTGTTGATAATAACATACCTATATATTTAATTTAATATATTAAAGTATTATAAATTTTTGAAATTATTTGATATTTTCCAAATAAACTTATTTATTAGAATTTATTTTTGAAGAAAAAGAAATAATTGTATATAAATTACTTTTAAGATTGCATTTCAAAATTAATAAAACTATTGACAATAATTTATATATGGACTAAATTTAAGATATCAAAAATTGTAAGTTTATTGGATTTAAATATCTGAATTGATAATAATATTTTTTAAATTGCTAAAACTTCATTCAAGCATTGAATGTTAATGATTGCTAAGATTTGTTAGGCTTTATTTGAAATCATATTTTATAAAACAATTTGATAGAAGAATATCAATCAAACTATAGAAGATATCAAATAATATGGAAAGAGCAGTTATTCATGAGTTTAGTTATTCTGCTTCTTTTCAGTAGGCTATGATTATTATCTTAAAAATTAAATAATTTTAAGATTGATCAATTAAAGATTAATCTATAATTTAAAACAAATGTGTGCGTTCAAAATACTATAATCTCTTATTCTATTATATTTTCTCTTTCAGAGATGATTATTTGCTAATGGAATAGTGAATATAATTGGAATTGAAGTATTTTTGATAACCATCAAAAAGACCATCTTTATGGTTTTTTCATTTAAATCTATTATGTTGTCTTTTTAAATTGTTGTGAATTTTCGTGAAAGTATTCTAAATTAATTCTAATGTTTTTTAACTTTTTATATTATATAAATAAACAACTATATCAACATTTTAAAATAAAAATTATTATTGAAGAAATTTATTTATAGAAAAAAACATTATAAAAATGCATAGAAAAGTAATGAAATCAGTATGATTAGGAATATCTTATTTTCCTCTATGGGTCTTTAAGATCTAAAACAATAGATAATAGAGGATATATTATAGTATAGAAAATAAAGGTATTATTTTGGAATGTTTGCTCAATTAGAGATTACACATATTTAGAAATTAAGAAAAAAGATTATTATATATTCTGTCAAGAGGAAACAAGAGTTAAGATTTTTTAAAATAGTCAATGATGAGAGAAAATTTATTAATATTCCTATAACGATGAATAAATACACATAAACATCTAATAAATAGTTATTGAAAATAAAATCTTAATAAATTTAGCATAAAAATTGGTAATTTAATTATTTGCTTAGAAATTAAGATAGGAAAATTTTAAGACATCTAATAATATAAAAAGAAAATATCATTTATTTTATATTGTCTTATCCTTAACAAGGTTGAATAAGAAAAATAATTGTTAATATTAGGATAATTTCATTTAAATATTATGCATTTGTATTTTTTTATAGTTTAATTAAATTAATAATAATATTATCTAATAAATAATCCATCTAATAAATAATCCATTGTATATTTTCGCTAATGATACATTTAAACTAATAAAATTAAACTTTAATAGTTTTGATTTTTATCTAAATTATTTTATTATTTTATAATTTTGTTATTATTTAATTAAAAATACCATAATTAAGATAATGTAATATCGCTATTGATATTTTGTTTTTAATTCTATATACATAAAATACTTAAGCTTATTTATTATTCTTTTTGATAATTTTTGTTAATTGTTTAATTGAAAATAAAATATTTAAGATTTAATATTATGCATATTCATATTTGTTCTTAATTTGATATCAATAAATAATTTATTCTTAAACTTTTACTTTCTATAATTTTGTTGATTAATTAAATACCATAATTAAGATAAAATATTATCCATATTAATCTTTTGATATCATTTGTTATAAACAAATTAATTAAGCTTATAAGTTATTCTTTTGTATAATTATAT